TATATATCATTTGGAGACAGTAAGCATTTTTTCAGTTTCATGACTAACCCCCAAAATCTTCTGGCTGCAGCGGGAGCAGGCGGGGGCGAAGAATTGCTCATAGCAGTATTCGCAGTACACATGGTCCTTCTCCTCCACAAATCCTCGGTTTGCCAGGGAGGAATGGCAGTGAGCACAGTTGAATTCCTCCGGGTGCCACGACATGCCCATGGCCACAAGGAATGGCCCCCTGGTAAAAATGAAAATTATTCAAATTAAAAAATAGCCCAAAACAGTTCGAGGGACCCCTAAAGAATATTCAGTATAGATGAGAAATTCCATAGTTTCATCCTCCTTACCTGATGACAGTGTTGCACTTGCTGCACATCGGGGTGCGTGTACCGGCCGGGATGTGCTCGGCCCGTTGCACCACAGAGTTGAGGTCCTCTGGATGTGGCTGCGGGGTGGGGCGTTCGGGTCCCTTGGGAGCAGAACCAGTCACTTTGCCAAATGAAGGAGCGGCTCCACCCTTTGGAAAACCTAAACCAGCAATGAAAAACAACATTAACCAAAGGATCTTTCCTGAAACTCGGTGAGTAAACAATCAAGCAAACCACTAACAAAGTGCTTAAATAAAGGTTTTGTTTAGTTAGCTTCACTGTTTGACATTTAAGATACTTTGTAGGTGTAGCTTAGCTGTTATTAAGGAAGGTGTAGTTAAGGCGTCAACCATTCAGTCTCTCGCTGTAGATCAGAGGAGTGTATAGTGTGCAAATAATATGTATTTAAATATGGTGGTATAGTTTTCTTCCTCTGCTTCACCACTTTCTCCTGTATGGAACATATTGTGTGTCTATGTTTGATGTGTGCTTGTGTGAATGGGAATAATTTGATGATCTCTGACCTTCATTCCTGAAGCATGACACATGGACAGAGCCCCCCCACCCCTGCACAGAAACAGGGGCTGATTTTTCCCACTGAGGGGGGAACAACACATTCCCTTTGACAGAGACACTCATCTCAAAACATGTGGAGAGGATGCACAGCATTTCCTTCTCTCTCTCGCAGCGCAAAGAAACCTCCAGGACGGAGGTCAGCGCTGGCTCCCCACAGAGGGACTATGGGGGATTGGGTGACAGAGACACTATTGAAAGAAAGCCCCATTATTAAAGACTTGGGAGGTCAAAGGACAAGTGTTCCCAAAATGTCCTTGTAACAGCGAGCAAACGGAAGGAATAAACAGAGAGGGGCATTGGCAGGGGAGCGAGAGGGGGTGGGGACGGCTGACTGACTGAGAGAGATGTGGCCTCCAGATGGAGAGAAAAAAAAGATTCTCTGATATATTTTAGTGGTTTATGATTATTGGGTAAAATAATATTTATATTTTGGTTTAGTATTAAAAAAGAGCTTGATATAAATACCTTTACAGACGCTGCAACAGATAAAATAAACTTAACAATACTAAATTGGACACAATATTGATGCAGAGAATTTGAATATATGTAACAGGTCACTGTGATCACTACACAAACGTATAGAAACCTACTGTGATTGTATCATCTTTAAAATATCATGTACAGCCTCAACATGATGCTAAGCTTCTTCTTTAGAGGGTGTCTGCACCTAATTTACCAAAACAATCCCTTCATGTATCTTTATGTAAAGGTCACGTAGCACATACCAGGTACCGCTCCACACACGCTTGTTTACCTGAACTTAAGTGTGTGTTAATCTAATGAACAACAAGGCCAACTGAGAACCAGCTGTGGCTTCTCCTGTTCCACTTTTTAAACAGTGGCTCTTTAAAAGGGCCTCTAGGGAAACCTGTTTAGGGAACAAAGTGTATCTGTTCGTGTATAAGTGAATAGCTGTTTCCTAGTAGCTGCTAATAACGACCCCCCGGCCTGATGTCTTTCAGCAAATATTTATCTCGACCACCTCTGGGTCTCGTGGCAGGGATTGCAGCAGGAGCCCTCACAAAATGAAAGAATAATACTCAATTTCACAATCTATTTAGCGAAGCCAATCTGGTGAAAAGCTAATCATTTGAACTCATTAACAGAATACCTTGGTTTTTATAGAGCTCATAATCTTGAATGGCTGAGTTTCAGGTATTAAACCTGAAATTAATGTTAGAGCTGAGCAGCAGGGCTTTAGAAGACAGAGGCTGCCTCCTACAGGCTAGAAGCAGCAGCTACACACACACACAATCTACCTGGTGAAGCTCCAGACTGGTGCGAGGGCTTGTTCATGGCTGCAGGGCTCTTGAATGTGGACGCAGGGACAACGTTGCCGTTCCTGGGAGCTGCTGCAGATTTGGAAAAAGTTTTTGCTGCCGGGGACGTGTGCACAGCAGGAGTGGCTTTGTCAAAGGCCTCGCTAAGAAACAGACATACACACTTTGTAAAAATCACAGCAACACACACACAAACACTCAAACTGAGCCTCCAGAAACTGCTCCTCAGTGACCTGCTCATTTACAATCAGTGGTTTGAACTCTCGGTGACACATGCAAACAATCAAGACAACTACGGAGACACTTTGCAGTCAGGCTCTGCAACGCTGCCCACTGTCCAGAGGGACTTTCAACTATACCTGCATAAGCCCACCCTTCTTTTGATCATTTAGCAGCAGGAGATAACTGTCTCATCGCAGTAAGCGCTTTATTTTTCTTTTATTCTCCTGAAACAGCAGAGGCTGGGACACTTTGAGGCAGCGCTGCCGTCTTCTCCCATGGCCGTATAAAAGTTTAAGAGGCCCAGTATATTTTAAGGGGAGAATGAGAAGTACTAGTGTTGCTCACCACTTCTTATAAAACTTAAGTGCTTTCACTTCAAGTTGACGACCTCCTGTGGGCAGCGAAGTGTCCGGACAACATGGAGGCTGAAACCTGGTGTATTGTCATTTCATTATTATATCGTTTAAATTATGAATTAAGCTGCCGATTGTTTCCTTAAAAACTAAACCTAAACTCCTTAAACTCCAAATGTGTTTTCTGGACTCCACCACTTCACCCACTCCTCCATCAGCACAGTGGTGAGCAGATAATTAGTGAATTTTCATTTTTGGGTGAACTTTCTCTTTAATATTTACTTCAACCAATCAGGCAACAATCAGGAACTTTGGAGAGAACAAAAACACTCAATTCCCCAAATTCTGCTTTGGTGCAACCTCTGTTTTTATTCATCTCTTTTTTAAAGAGTTGCTCCACACAGCGCCCCCTAGAGGCTGTGGCAGCATGACAAAACATGATGTGAATCTTCACAGGATCGTCTGATAATTCTTCTCTGTCACATCTTTCCAGTCAACAACAGGCTGACTGAACTTATATTTCACAACATAACTGTCACAACTAAATAATGAAATTAATATAAATATAACCGTCACAACTAAATAAAGATATAAATATAAATATCATGTTGTAAAAGCTGGGCAAGAAGAAAAGAATGAATGAAAGAGGTAGACATCAGCAGCAAGGAAATTTAGTTTATTGAAGAAAAATCATCAAAGGTTGATAAATGAAGCTACTTCACTTAGGATAGAAAACAGATACAGACATGCACTGAAAATAAAGCATAAGATGACAGACAGAAGAAAGAGGAAAGTGGAGGCTCAGAAATAAACATTATCGAAGAAAAAAACATGTGCACATTCCAATATGATGTAATGTTACACACATGAATGCTTTAACGTACATTATGAAATACCATAAGCTAGAACTATAAGATAATATATACTTTGTTTGCTGGCTGTTCACTTTTTTTCTGGTTTTGCTCAAACTTTAATGACTAGTGTAGACTGTTGGTGCAAAATGCAAATTTAATAATGGTCAAAGTGAAATAAATAAAACACTTAACAAAACAAAGCACACTTTTTTTCTATTGCATATTAAGTGCTCGTGCTGAGATGTCATGATGCCAATCTCTCAGCTTGTTGTACTGGCGGCCTACAACTTCTGGGTCCAACTTGTTTACTCTGATTTCCCATTCGAGGAGATTAGAAGAAAAAAAGGTAAGAAAGAAGAACAAAAGTAAAAAGACAAGGAAGCACTGGAATAAAAGAAAATAGAAAGTTGTAGAAAACACATAGTTGGAAATAAATAAAGAAAAGAGACTTGCAGATGTTTGTTGAATTAAGAACCAGGGGGGATATATAATATCTACTCTCTCTCTCTCTTTAAGGACAGCTCCCCGCATGAAATCTCAGTAACAGAAAGAAAACAGGAATCTCCTTCTGGCAGTGCAGCTATTACCCACAATCCCACTTAATTACCCACAGTTTCCAGAAAGTGACACACTGATTGGTTGGAGATCTTGAATGGAGGACAGGCTGTGTTTACTGCAGAGAAAATCGAGTTATGTCTGAAAGGAGCAGAAGTCATTACAGCGTCTGATGAGTCAATGGTCAGACCATCTTCCTCAGTGTGGTCACTTCAAATTTACCCTTAAATGAAGTGTGATGTGTGGGATCGTAAGATGAGGAAATCAGGGTTAAATCTGGATTGCAGACTAATAGACGTGCTTACACGAGGACTTTGGAGGCCAAATCTGAATTTGAAACCCCTATAACCCAAAAATTATTTTAATTGCAACAACGGCATAGCTAAAACAGATGCATTACATAGAGAAAAGTACTCACAGACAGACAGAGAGGGAACAAACCTTCACAAGCACACAATGAATTTAATGTTAAGAACCTCAAACCACTTACTTTTTTCCATTGTTCTCTGGAACTTTTTCTGCAACAACAAAGCAAAAAGAAACAGCAATTAACATAAATGCAAAATTTGCAAAAAATAGTCAATGGGAATGCAAGCAGACAATCTTGTTTGCAGATTTTTCTCCGTTCAGACCTGGTTGTAACGTCCGTCCTGAGTGGATCTGCAATTGTGACTTCACTTCCCCGCTCTATATGTAAATAATCATGCTCTGCATTTCTGTTTGCCAAATTGTCCAAATTGTGTTGTTTTTACCCAGTCAGCGTGAGAAAGAAGTAGAGAGAGGCTAAATGAATTAATGAGGTTTGTGTATTTGTACTGTGAAGAAAGAGTTTTACCCATTTCAGCCCAGGATGCATTAGTGTTCACACAGTGAAAAGAATGAGGCCACCTGTGTCGCAGACCACCTGCGAATGTGGACCGAGCGATCAGATCTCAGGACAGATTGAGAGCACATTTGGGTGCGTTCAGACCTAAACTTAGAACTAACCTATTGTGATCACATCTCTCAGGACGGATGTTAATACCAGGTCTGAACTTAGTCTTATTCTACATTCATCTTGTCATCAAAATAACTCAATGCAAAGTAAACTCTGACGGGACGTTGTGTGGTCGTATCTCTAAATATTCACAGCTGCAGAAACACCAGACACATTGAATATACTGTGCATCAAAAGCACTATACATATTCAGCAAGGGTCTGGCAACGAGACGTTCAAATCTCTCATATTACATCATTCTAATAAGAAAGTTTCTGTAAATGTCACTTTGCATCAGCTGCACGGACCCACACACACACACACATATACACACAATGGAGGGCGGCCCGAAGCCACAGCCTGCTCGTGTATCCATCGAGGTCACCGTGAAAAATCCATAAAATCAAATGGTGATGAAAGATTTATTCTATTATTTAAAGAAAGTATGAAATCACTATGATCTGCAGAACATTTTCATTATAAAACATTATGATTATAACACAGGGAAGTAGTAAAAGTCAGTTATGAAAATGAAAATTACAGATTAATATAAGATATTGAATAAATATGTTAAGTGCTCTTAACCAAAAGTGATTTAACAGATCTATGATGAACTGAGAGATGTACCAATATGAGCTTAATGATACTCAGGTTGTTTCAACTCTTGAAAATATATATTTGTATTATTTATATATATATATATGTAGGGCCTGAAGTTGGTACACACCATTTTCAGTGCCGGTGAGTTGGGCCAGGATACGGAAGGAGCGGGACTGGGAGGTGCCCGTTCTTGGGTGCCAGTCCTCTGTGTCCTCAATCAGACGCTTCTTGCTGGCGTCGCTCACTGGAGACACGGGAATCTCTGCCTCTACAACAGGTTTCCTGCACGATTACATCAACCAAGAAATGTTCATATTACAGACACAGAAAGCACTTGAGTTTCAAAGTATGCAAATCAACAACAATGACCAACTCTGCCAAAAAGGTTATGTTTATATCTGCTTTAGTTAGTTTGTTTATTTGTGAGCAGGATTACACAAAATATCAGGGGGCCAATCCAGGGGATATATTTTTGGTGCAGATCCAAATAAAAAATTTGGATCTAGTGAATTAAAATGTGGTTTCAAAGGGGGCCAACCAGACTCTACCAGAGTGCCATTCTAGTTACATTATTTTATATAAACTACTTGGGGTTAATAATATAAACAGAACATCCATACCACAGGATAACAATGTTCCTGTTAATACACACAAACACCTTAAATTCACATATACTACTGCACACATATATATGTAGCTTGTAGATACACGTCTGACACCACGACCTGACATCTGTTTTTGTCTCACAATTACCTCCTTGGTGCAGGTGGAGGTGGAGTTCTGCAGGTGAGAAGGCAGAGCGCAGAAATGTGCAAAGGCAGAAAGAAATGTAAAGTCACATTAGTATAAGTATAATCTACTACGCACTTGTTGATGTGGGAGACTGTTCTGACCTATACTTACTTGAGACTTTTCTGAGGCTCACTATTGGAGAGGAAACCACAGAGAGAAAGTCAGCAAGGTGGTAAAACGAGTGGATGTTTATTAGCGATAGTAAGAAGGTGAAGAGATATTAGATTAACGATAGTGGGGAAATGCACAACCAATAGCCTGACAGTGACCATATCACACCACAAGGTGGAGGGAGTGTGCTTTAAAAGAAGGAAAAGTGCCCCTCTCTTCCAAATGTCAGTTGAGGGATCTCTAGAATTCAATAATATTTATGTGGAGTGTTTATGTGCACAGTTTAGTTCAAGTGCTGCTGGGTTAATTACACGTCAAAAGCACAAGTATTGCAGATTATTTTTCAGTGTGTGTTGACCTGTGTGCATGTGTGAGGTGAGAGATGATGGACCACAGCACAAGTCCAGTCTATTTTTAGCCGAAGCCGAATATACTTGGCAGTGATTTAAAATGCCTTGAGTAAACACACTGACGCTGGCAGCAGATAGAGGCGCACAGAGCTGGGTGACTTCAGCTGAGGGCGCTGACAGGCCTGACTGCTCCGGGTGTAAATACATTAGCTAACACACAAGCTCGATGCCGCTGAGAAAAATGAATGGACAGCATGAGCTGGCCCCCACCCCCGTGTTTGGACCCTGAAATAAGCACGTGCTGTGAGCGGATGATGAGCATGCGTGTGAGGCTCGTGAGGAGGTTATAGGTCAGAGGGGAGCGAGGATGCCTTTTTGGTAATCATAAAGCAGAGCAACGCTGAAGGCTGCAATCACATTCCACACAGTTGCAGAGCCAGTATATTATCAGTCGCAGCACTAACTTGACGTCTGTGTCTTCTTCCTCCTGTTGGCAGAGGAGAGTTCAACGGAAAAGAGATGAAGCGGAGAAAGAGCGTGAAAAGGCCAGATGGAGAGAAAAAAAGAGGAAAAGAGCACAGTGCCAACACATGAAAGGGCCTTCTGAGAGAATGAGCAGGCAGAGGAAAATAAAAAACACAGAAAGTGCACAAAGAAAGCACGCAGGTCAGGAAACAAACACACACACATGCAGGGACAAACACACTCTACCTTAAAAATGACACTGTGAGGTTTCATGTGACTGAAAGATGACATAAAAGTATTCATACAGTCTAGTCTTTTATGACCACTCAAGGTTTTACAGTACAGTTTGGCCATGGTGCATCTCTATCACACATCAATCACACACTGTCGGCACATGCAGAAATAGGGAGACTGGGTTCGAACCGCCAACCTGCAGGTTAGTGGACGACCCACTCCTACCTCCTGAGCCACAGCCACCCACAAATTAAAGGGCTGATATTCTTTAAACAGTATTACAGTAAACTGTTTTTGTTCTGTTCCTCACTTTTGGGGGGTTAAGGTTGGGTTGATTTTCTGTCAAAACAGAGAATAAAATAGAATAATTCATGAATGAACTACTGTTCACTTTGTAGGGTGGGTGTCACAGATGTATTGAAGTGTGAAGAAACACGTTCCGCTCACTTGAAGCCAATGAAAACACGTATCTGACCTATTTTCTCAGGTGAGAGAGAATAAAAAAAAGCAAAAGTGGGAAAAGAAGTTAAACCTATATCCAGTCTTCTGTGACCCAGCCAGTGAGCCAGAAAACCCTGCTGACAGAGCCCAGTGCTGCCGGACTCAGCAGCTCAGAGCTGAGAGGATTCTAATCAGAAACGAGTGCCTGGTGGGCAGACAGCGAGCTGCGAACCACCCCACTGTCAGTTAATGATAGACAGTAGCATCAGTTCGCATGTTGTCTAGACTCTGGTCCTTTTCCAGTTGCCCTGTGGAAAATTTAAACAAGATGTGCGGCGTGCTTTGGATTTTCTCCCACATGCAGCTGTGCGAAGACTTAAGGTGACGGACTGTTTCGTTGAGAGCTTTTGAAATGAGAGTCATATTTTGAGGTAAAACAGGGCATGAAGTAACATAAGAAAAGCAGAATGGAGTATTTCATTTTCTGTAATATATGTACATTCCATCAGATAGCAAAACTGTCAACTAATCTGTGGCCTCCTTGGATCATAATTCCTTCTGGACCTGCTCACTAAAGCACAAACTGTGGCTATATTATTTCACCAACATAAATAGAGAGAATCCTGTACATATATTGCAGAGGCATCAGAAAGTACTCACACCCCTTCACTTTCTGCACTTTATTGTGTTTTAGATCCAATATAAAAATGATAAAACTGCCAATTCTGTCTGTAAATCTAAACTCAACAACCCACAATGAAAAGTTAAACGTTTTTGCAAATTATTTAGTCACAAAAAAATGTCTTTGCCGGGCAGCGCTCATCTCCTCCCTTCAGTGTGGCATGGAGGCTGCAGTGTTGCTTCCTAGCGGCAGGGACGTACAGACTGGAATTAAGGGAAAGATGAATTCAGAGGCCCTTAAAGAAATTGGGCTCCCGGGTGCACGTAATCTGAGACCCCAACAAATGTTGACCTGTCAGCACAACGATGACCTGAAGCATACAGCCACGTAAATGCTGGAGCTGCATCGGGACAAGTCTCTGAATGTCCTTGAGTGTCTCGGCCAAAGCTCTGACTAAAAAACCAATAAAACATCTGCGGACAGACCTGATGGCAGCTCAGAGACGTTTCCCATCCAGGAGGATTTGCCAGGAGGAATGGGATAAAATCGCCAAACCCATCTGCACAAAGCTTACTGACACTTAACCAAGAAGAGTCGAGGATGAAACTGCAGCAAAACGGGCTTCAACAAAGTACTGAATTCAACTCACAAGGGTCTGAATGTGTTTCTAAATCAGAAATTTCTGTTTTTAATGTTTAATAAATCTGGAAAATGCTCTTTCCTTTACCATGGTGGGTTTTTGAATATAGTTGATGGGCAGAAATGTTAATAAAAATAAACAAAAAAGTGTGTAAAAGGTTAAGGGGTCTGAATTTATTGTTTATTTCAGACCAGTTTACTTTCCATATAAAGAGCAGGAGAAAATATAGGAAAAAACGCATCATTACTGCATCTGATGGACGGTACCTACCCGTTGAAGTGCTCTGACAGACCCTGGCTCTCCAAAAGACCTCGTCTCTGGCCCATAGCCACCTCACAGGCATTGGCGTTAGAGTAGAGGCTGATAGGTGTGTTATAGACGGAGGACTGCGGCACATTGGGATTGGAGGCTGTCACTCTGGCAGGGGATGAGGAGTTAGATGAGGAGGAAGAGGCGGTTGGGGACGTGAAGGTGGAGTTAACCGCCGGAGCTGAGTTTGGAGCAAGGTGGCTGGACTTGAGCGGAAATGGAGGCTGCGGTGGCTGGGAGGGAGCAGCAGGAGTGAAAGCAGACGATTCGGACGGAATGGAGGCTACTTTGGAGGCAGCCGGGGAAGAGGTGCCGCCCCCGAATGGCCGGGCCGTCTTGTTGTATGCAGGGTTAGGCTGACTCAAGGGCTTGATGTATGGGGAGCTCGGGGCAGGGTGAGTGATCGGCACAGGCTTAATGATTTCCTGAGGCTCGTCCTGGATAGAAGGTGAAGACACACAACATGCACACACGGCAAATCCACAGTGAACTCATGCATGTAAACACACATTCCCAAGAGCACTGCAACACACGGCTGTATGAATGATAGTCATGCAGGTTCCATACTAGAGGGGCTATGCAATGTGTTTCAACAAATTTGTGCACTGACATAATCTCAGAGGGGCAAATTAATATGGTATTTTATTCATATGACAAACAGAATTCATATACATTTGAATAAATATAAAGTTTTAAGTAAATGTTTGACGGTACCTTAGGTGCTCCATCTTTAGGGACACTGGAGGCTCTGTGAAGACAGAAAGACGATTATAAAAACATTGTCCAAAAAAACATGTTAATGGCACATATTCATCTGTAAAGTAAAGTAAAGTTCCTGCAAAGCACATGAGTGAATAGCTCCTAGGATCAAACTGCAGACTTGTGTTAGTATATGGACGGAAATAGGGTCAAAAAGATGTGAAGTGAAATATTTTAATATTTTAATAAGTGCAAAAAAGATTTACAATTGAAGGAAATATTATTCCTGAACTTTGAGACTTTTTATTCACAGCATCTCCAAAAAGTGAATGATAATATCATAACTTTGATTACAAAACGAAAATGTGTAATTACAGCAAGTTTTAATCTCTGGAAATGAACCTTTATCGCATAATGAAATGAAAGGAACCAAATGGCAGAATGGAAAGTAGGGCATATGTGCTCAGGAGAATGGAGGATGATAATTATCTGTAATTTAGAGCAAAGGTGCTTTAACATGCAGAACCACCATTATGTGTGAACCCAGTGTACTTCAGGGTGTGTCTCCATGCAGGCTGGTGTTGAAGTGTGGTGTCCATCTGATTTACATTTGCTTTGGAAGGAGCTCCCACAATTTTATCACCTATGGGAGAAGAGGGTGGTCTGTTTGTCTTCACTTGTTTCTGACAGAGACCAGCAAATATACAATAAACTATCATCTCCGTTTTCACTATAGATGTTCTCATTTTGTCTTTTTTCTATTGAACCTCCACCCTTAAAAAATCTATTCCTTCAGCATGTGTTATGTTTTAATACTTTTGTGTAGTCCCTGTTGGACGACTTAAATGTCTCAAAATGTCTCTGTTAGTGTAGCATTGAAACTCAAATGCAGACAGATGCCTTTTTACAACGTGTCCTATATTTGGTCCTGACATGCAGACACACCACGTCCCTTATTCCTCATAAAAAAACAAAACACAGAAACAGACAGTGAGTCAGCAAGGCTGGTCTCGCACCATGAGCTACGGTATGTCCGCTTCCTTTCTTCTGCCATATTAGGAAAACAGTCAACAAACTCTCACGCATTTCCTCTCTGACTGAGCTCAGACGCAACAGCCGCGTCTGGCACTGGGTTACGACAGAGCCCCACCCTCCAGCCAGATGTTGATGTCATCTGTGCCCAGACTCGAATGTACAATTTCCACTTAGCTGTTTGTATGCTAGTATGCTTGTTTTCCTCTGTACATTATTAGTGGATTTGCTTATGGAGAAAATCCATGTTGTGCCAAGGACAACAGGAAAAAGGTCTAAAGATCAGGCAGGCAGGACCCAGCCTACAATGAAGCCGTGTGTATCAGAGTGGGACAGCTGGGTGGATTCACTATCTGTCTTTTCCCAGAGCGAACTGAAAAAACACCGGCTGAGGTGGTCCCACAAACATCTGCTCTGCTCGGCCTCTCTGCTGTCCGGCTGCCTGCCTGGCTGGATGGACTTTGCTCTGCTGTTACAAAGAGACAAACACGGTGTGAGTGCGTGGGCACACGTGTGTGTCAGACTGTGGCTCACATGCCCGTCGTCTTCTGGGTGGTGTGGGAACTCATTTCAATTTCTAATGCTGCAAAACTTTTCCTGCAGTTCAGGTTTAAATACTCAAATGAAAACAATTTGAAATGAATGTAATGTAATGTACCAGACTGATTTTCATGGGTCATACCACCACAGTCTGAACAGAGAAATATGGCTCCTGGATCATGGCTTTGCTCAGCCTCAAACGTGCCTCAGTCGGTTCTTCCTAATCTAATCAGGATGCCTTGTTTCATTAGATCACCGCTGTCGATATCTACAAGGATCACTTTTGGCTAAATTTAGACTTTATACCAAAATACAAGCTCTTAAATATATATAAGCTATAAAAACAGTTTAGTTTAATTGGAAAAGAAACTTACAAACACACACACACACACACAAACACACAAAGTTCCAGAACAAGAGAATGAGGAGGTTAACCAGAGTAATAAGTGTGAGGGCAAAGCAGACTGAAGCATTTCCATCCTGCCCTGTGTCTCTTTGAGAGCCAAGAGAAACAATCTGACATTTGACTGAGTGATGAAGCAGCTAATAGACATAGCTTTCTCACCACAAACACAAACACACACACACACACACATCTAACCACCTTACATTAACAGCGAGGGCACATTGTTTAAATAAGTGCAGCCTTTCAGTTTCACCAGATGAAAACTCCAAGTGTCTGACTTTTCCTCTATTCATGGTTCAGTTTTGTTTACTCTGATCTCAAAGCAGACCGGGAATCATAACTGGGTACAGATATAATATGACATGATATATGAGGGAGTAAAGGGCACAGTATAGAATATAATTATTCATACAACCTATTGATGTCAGACTCAAGTCATGATACTCCAAAACATCTGCCGTCCTATATTTAACTTGTGTGATGAATGTTAAAACTCTGCGTGAAACCTGGCGAGCACTGTTTTTTTCTCAGCTCGACCACATGCATGAAAACCTGAAGAAAAACCATGAAGAAGAAAGAAAACAAAGAGGGAAAAAAAGCATAGGAAAGCAAAACAAAAACTCCAGCAGAGGGAGGTGGTATGAGCGGGTGCGGAAAGTAATCTTTTTTTTCCTCTGTGTTTCTGTTTTTCTGTGCAGCCAGGCTTTTCCGTTCAGTGGCAAAACTCACAGCTTGAGTCTGGCCTCTCTGATCTGTCCATAATCCTTCTCTTCACACGGCTCACTCACATTAACCACGAACGAGGATCTCGGAGGAGGGATTTCTCACACATTTTAGTGGAAAGAGTCAGAGCGACAGAAATGTGAGCGCTAACGTGAGTTAAAGCTGAGAAAGGCGTAACAGGACAGTTGCTGCCGTCAGCTGCGCAAATACTTCACTATCATTTTAATCCTCATGTCTGCATGTGTGGTGTGTCTGTGTCAAGTGAGAACCCCGCGCACTTTCCCATATCACCAGTCATTACATTGAAGTGAAAGTGTACGTTCATACCACACTCTTCTCTGTACAGCACTGCTCCCCACGTGAGTGCCTTCACTCTGCTCAAGTAAATTATAAAATAAAATGTCCCCTGCAGGACCAGGCAAAAGATATGCAGATTTTCATTTAATAGCACCAAGATATGGACATTTTATCAAGACAAGCTTAAAGAATAAAGTAAGTAGTGGAATGAGGGAGTTCTTCTTGAGGTCAGATTTCTAGACAGTTAATCTAAGATAGAAAGAAAAAACTGCAATTATATTTCTTATTTATTTATTTTTGTATGTTATAGTCCCCCATCCCTTCTTATGTCTCTTCCGACCACCACACCACAACTGGCTAAGGCAGCCAAGAGTCAGCAAGGGGGCTCGGCACTACATGGGCCCGTCCTCTACTTCACCCTGTTATAATCATAGCATAAGATTTGATGGGTTGGCCATGTATGATTTATCTGATGCAGATTTAACCCACAGCTACCCAGCTGATTTGTATTTAGCTCCAGTAAGTGGCCTGTGCGCCCACAAATCTCTTCTTTCTAAAAATATTCCTGAGATGTTTCATTCATATGGCAAAAGATTGGTTTCTGAGGTCACAGTGACTTTTGACCGTTGAGCAACAAATTCTAATCAGTTCAGCATCGAGTCCAAGTGAACATTTGTACCAAAGTTGAAGAAATTCCCTCAAGGCGCTCTTGAGATATTGTGTTCACAAGAATTGGACGGAAGGACAGATGGACGGACGGACAACCTGAAAACATAATGCCTCTGGCCGATGGGTATACTCTATGGGTAATATATGGATGTACAGGTGTGTAACTTCTTGCTTTCCTGTTCCTCCTAAAACTGCACGTGTTCCAGGCGCTCACACACACACACAAAGAAATACACAACAAAAACATATACACAAGTGGAAAACAGAGGAAATACTGAGGAAATGCTGGCTGTGTTGATCTGTATTATCTTTGAGGTTTTGGAACCAGGTGCTGCCAGCCACAGCCTCTAGGGAGCGGTGTTTCATTGGGCTGTGCTGCATATTTCAATGACAATAAATAAACATCAATTATCATACTTTCCTCTGGCTACTTCCCACAGCTCCCTGGTGACTGTTAGTTGCTCAACTACACATGATGGCAGCACAGAAAGTACAAACCCATAAAACCCGCTGATAACTGCTGACAATTCAAACCCAAGAATTGATAGTTAAGCCTTGTCAAAATAAAAGTCTGGATCCCCGGCACAAACAACTACACAATCATGAATAGTAAATATTTTTACTCTGGCAGTTATATTTCCCTCAACAAGCAAACAGACTCTGTTTTGACATCTCGTCTTAAAACCGTAGTCTTGGAAAGAAAAACTTGGTTTCTCCCTGTGACAAAAACACATAACAACTCTTTACTCATTTGGACTCATCTAGTCCGATTTGTTTTGATTTACTGTTTAATGGAACGACGGCCGATGAGGGAGTTCATTACCTCTCTGATGAAAACATGGTCCTCCTCTCCTAGCAACAGGGACATAACCTAAACATATTGGCATCAATAGTCGTGTTTTGGCTGGACGATGCACAGAAAAGATGCATGGTGTAATACCTAAATGGTTTTCGTTGGATGTTTGTCTCATATTTCTTAACTTGAAGAAATTACGTGTGACAGCAAGTGACTAACTTTATAACCATTTCCATTGTATTCCCAGTTGTGCAACTGAACTGTAGATGGACTTCAGTGTTTACACGGCGCGTTACTGTGTGATTCCAGTTTGAATAAACAATAGACAGACTCCCAGTGGTGGAGGAAGTACTCAAACATTTTACTTCACTTAGAGTACAAATAAATACACAAAACATGTACCCAAGTGAAAGTACCACGTCAACATTTCTCTTTGAGAAAAAGAAAGTAAGTAATTGCTTTGAATACACTTACAGGATAATGGTAAAAGTACTTGCAGAGTTTAGCCTATTCCCTGTGGTCAACACATCATTAACTGCGCTCGCTGTATATCATGTATAATACAAGAATAACACAGACTCTGTTGTATTACTCAAGAATGTTGCAGAACACATTGACACATTAATTAATGTCTGAATCCATTTCATGCGATTCTTCCTCACCAGTGATGCTGCTGCTGCAGGAGGCGGGGTCTAATGTTACCTGCCGTTATTGATGACTTTTAAGGTATAAAAAACAGTATTTTTCATAAATGCAGTGGAGTAGAATACGCTAACATATGTAGTGGAGTAAAAGTGAGAAGTACCGAAAACAAATCTGCTTGAGTAAAGTACAGATACACAAAAAATTTTCTTTAGCACAAGGTAAATATACTTTCTAACATCCCACCACTGTTTAGGTCATTATCTAACGTTTTAAATCCGGTATAACGACTTATTTTCTGTGTCGCTGGATAAAAGCATGCATTTTAACAGCAGCCACCTTTGAAGAATAACAGTAGACGTGAAGCAAACTACAACCATTTATCATTCTAGTTGTTCAGCGGGTGATTTTAGTTTTAGTTTACATGTACGATGAGAGCAGATTGTTTGATGTTTTATGGTGCATCCATTACTCTCAGTAGATTACATACAGCTGTTGGACACTGGGCTATTTTAGGACGATATTCCCACGATTAAAAGCACAGAGGCTCTCTCCTGCTTTGATGTGGCGACAGAATGACAGGACATGCAAACCAGGCCTCGGGTTTTTCTGTCAACATGTTTTACAACTCGGAAAGCGTGCGTGCTTCGCCTCTTGTTTGTGACAGTAGAGCTACTCTTCTTCACACTTGGCTGCAATAGATGGTCTGCATTTGGTAAAGTGCTCAGATTCATGTGAAGGGATTATTCTTTGTTTTTTGGATTCCTCGTCTTTAAGATGAAATAAAACGGACGTTCCACGCAACAACTTCAGGGCTGTCAGTATTGCCTGTGAATTTGAGCCATTTGTTAGCTTGTGCTCAGTATTAGAGCCATATTGAAGAAAGAAATACCAGAGATTTTGAAGATATTTTTGTAATATTTTGAGAATAAAATATATATTAATATATATTCTTATATTATGAGGAAATAAACAGCAAGGGGATCCTGTGCTCACAGGATTACTGCTCCCTCTGGATCTAAAGTCTTGATTTCCAATCACCGTTATGCAGATTGCAGTTGACCTCCGCAAAAGAGGCGATTTCCTCCAAGTCTGTTTGGATCTTTCTTCAGAACAGGCACAGTATAACAACAAATATAGTCTCTGCTGGATTCCTGCTCTCCTTTCACAAATCATATATTAAGGGAAAAAAGGGGAATTAAGAGCTTTCATTTTGAAGCTCTCCTATGGCCTTAATACACTCAAGGGCCCCAGAATACCAGGTATTCTTCTTGCTAATGACAGGAGCAGGGAAGCATCTGATGAACTCAGCATGATCAGATAAAAACAGAGGCCGAAGCCTGATCTGATGACTTCTGCAGACTCTGTGCCGTACACCACACTGCCAGGAAGAACATGTGTAGATTGTTAAGAGCATCACTGTAATAATTCAGGTGGTTCTTTATTTCTTCTGTGCAGCATTAATATGTAAAACGGTACCGGTACTTTTCTAATGAGGTATTTCAGTGCACGGCAAGCACAAGATCTCCGATCCTGGGACCATAGTTTGTGTCAAGTCAACTAATCTACATTAAATGTGTTGATTTGGTCTAAAGCTTGATGCTACAGTGCAGTTTTGTCTTTAAATTAATTTTTAGGGCCGCTACAAATCCAATACCATGCTTGTCAACTCTAATTACGATGCAGATGAACTGATTCGCTGCATAAACCAACACAAAGCTTAATCTGGTCTAATGTTTGCTAACTGGCTGCAGGACCTGCAGAGGCAGAGCTGTTTCAAATTAGCACAACGGGAGCTCGTCTGTTTCAAATGATGAAAAGGCAAATTGAAGGCAGGACGAATCAACCAAATATAACAATCAAGCTTCCTTTTCATGCATAAACATGTTAGTCAGAATGTGAAAAATGCTTCAAAAGCACATTGCAAAAGTTCCACTCGTAGGCTGGGATACACACAAGTGGTGCAGGCAAATCGACAAAGTATGCATTTCATTGCTGAATTATAAAGTTCATAGATTATATTGCAGAAGGTGCACTTGTGTGTTACCTCTGTAGAGTGAGGTTGAGATTGCCTGAGCAGGCCTTGATCTTGTTCTGGGCCTCGAGGTGGTTCATACTGTCAGTGGAAATGCCATTGATGGACAGAATGATGTCTCCGACGGTCATCTTGGCTCGGACCGCCTTGCCTCCATCAGTTAGCTGCAATTTAAACATCCAAACAAGGAAACACACTTAATAATGCACATATTGCAGAAGAGTTACACCAACTCGGCATCTTGTTGAAGAAATTTTTTTTTTTTTCAGAAGTGAGTTGTTCATTAAGACCTGTTCCACTTTTTTCCCAGTGTGTACATTTGAAACTTTAGGGTTTTGCATCACGCATTCTCAGAAAGAGGAATAAAGATAAAATTCTGTGTAAGTACTTTGGTGTTATTACTTTATTATTGCTTTGAATCACAAAGCAACCTGCTCTCCATCCTGTTTCCCATCTTATGTAACCTTTTCCAGATAAGATAAGCGTCATATTCTCCTCACAACACGGGGCAGGATTCTACATCCACCCATAAAAAAATCCAAAGCGTTCCCACTGTGATGACTCACACGACCAAATAACCACTGACCACAAATCCAAACCACATGATTTTCCAATGTTTGAATTATAGTCACAAGTGTGTGATTTCAATTACAAATATATTATTAACGCTGGTAAGTAATTATTAAAAAATGATAAATACTGTACTTTGAAATATTCTAATAAAGTTACAAATGAACATTTCTACTTTACAAACATAACAGCTGGTGTATCCTTCGAAGGAGGACGACTGCCAATGACGACAGCTTCAGCTGCAGTCGTTTTTGTCTCAGGTTAGCACAACTGCATTTGGGAAATTTAAATCTCCAGTTCTCCCCTGAGCTTTTCATGAGCCACATCCATAACTTCTGCTGCATGGGGCTATTAAAGGGTTTTTGAAAACTCGAAGCTTTTTTTCCCAGGCTTTCCTTTCGTTGCTGTGTGCTTTGTCTGTTATCGTGGCGCTGAAAGGTGCCAGTGAACAGGTTGTGTGGTCTGACCCAGCCACTGGGTTTTATCACAGAAACAAATATTTTTGTTGTACATTTTATATATATTGTGAATGAATCAAACCTATTTCAACAAATATAGGGGTTGTGTATTCTAAAAAGCAACAAAAAGTGGGTAAAAAAAATGTTCAAATTGTTCTCAGGGAGACAATAATTTAATACTTGGTAATGTTGAATCAGGCTTAAAAGCTTAAAGCTCTTCAACCGTCTGTCAGGCAGTGTAGAGCAGGGTGAAGGTTAGTCAGCTCTTCTGTTGCTTTCATGCTGAGACATGACTTTAATACACAGGAAGCATCGTAATAAAACCATGACGATGGCATGATTCTCGGCTCTGCACACCTTTATCAGTCACTCACTGCTCACTTGTGTTTGCATGTCCTCTGTGTTCTCTTACTCTGGAAGGAAAGCGACTTTGTCTGTTGACTCCGAGTGTGGAACATAATATTGGGACACACAGTAAATGCCTAATAACACCTTCACCTCTGCTGTCTAAACATCAAAATGAAATTAAAACCCTCATCACTTTCCAATCATCTTTGTTATTTTTATAAACCTGCCCTGATTACACAGATAAACGTAGAACAAGATATTGCCATTACCCGCTCATAAAGAATGTGCTCAGGTTCGGTAACTGCAAAGAACCTTTTCCTGGTTTTAAAGCTGAGACATAAACAATGTACCATTGTGCCAACCCTCATACTGACAAACTAGGGAAAGGAGAGGGAGGCAGGATAAGAAAGAATGAGGAAGTGACAAAGCTGTGGTGGCAGTGACCCACACATTTCTTTCTCTCGAGCTGTGCTTTCCTCGCTTCCTTATCAAGAGGATCAGAAGGGGGATTGTAGAATGTGTAGCTGCGACTGATGTATGCATACCAGCATTGAGGAGACCTATAGTGCAGCGGCATGCTCAGTGTGACTCACAAAGAGCAGGGGCGCTCGCTGTATGTGCAAGTACAAAGCTTCAACTGACTCACTGGACGTCTGAAGCAGGCTCGCACCTGTCAGCATTTATTGCGTCTGACCTGACTCATTCACTGTCAGTAAAATAACTCATTAGTGTTCAGTGTGGAGGCCAATAAAGAGAGCCGTCTGCACAGATCACTGGTATCCACTGGCTCCGTCATACTCTACAGAGCTCAGCCGATGAGTGTTTTTGGAGACAGATGATAATACTTGTATTTGCAAGTAAGAACTTAAGAGTCTGCCAATATATATGTTTGAATAAAAAAATTGTCAACCCTGTATGACAAAGAAGTTAGTTGGCAGGATTATGCAAAAACCACTGAAGAGATTTCCGTGAAATTTTGAACAGGGGTGGGGCATGACCCAAGGAAGAGCCAATCACATTTTGGAGCAGATACGCAAAAATGGTCAGATCTAGGAGTTTGTTTGAGGTAGGCACATTTCAAATAGATAATGTGAAATAAGAAAAAAGAGAATGCGGTTTTCATCCATCCATTATCTACACTTATTGGCAAACATAAATGCAGATACTGATTTGTCTATGATACTGTCTACACTACAGCTCCAGAGGTCAACAGCAGGGGGGAAGTAGAGGAGGGATAGTTGAACGTGCATGTCCCTGGGACATGTCTCTCCATCCCTCGATGTCTCCCTCTCTCTGGACGTCTGTGTGTGTGTGTGTTAGCGTGTGTTAATGTGTGTTAGAGAGAAAGAGAGAGAGTGAAAAGGACAAGCTCTCTCCTTGTAGGGATGTGAGACAGGACTCTACATAGCTCTATGGCAATTCCTCAAACATGTACTATTTCTAGAGGTGAAGAGAGAAACAGACTCTTGTAACATTCCCAGAAAGATGTGTTTTAATGTTTGACACTTTAGTCTGCAGCAGACAGAGAGCACTTTATAAACCCTGATGTCCTTCACTCACAGGCTGTCTCACTCACAAGGATACAAAACAAATAGATGTTACAGTAAGAATCCCTGGAATCCATCGTCTATAAATATAAATCAAGGTCTGACGCACTCATGGCAGAATGCAGATAAGTAATGAACAGGAAGCTCGGCTGTGCTACTCCACACAGGATGTCTCTGCAATGTGCTTTTAACAAATACTGCCAACCGCTTGGAATTATGTAATTTGTGCACTCGATCAAAGACCAAGTTACTATTTCAAACTTTTCTAGGTTAAATAAAAAAAGGAAGGGGGGGGTTTACAACTTAGTAAGAAGAGTAAAAAAGGTGCTGGAGTCTTTGTGTTTATTTGGCAGATGAGAAAGACATTTTTCAAATGTCTTTCCAACTGCGTTTACATGAATGGGATTCCAGCCACACAATGGTGCGGCTGCTACACTGCTGTGGTCCTCTACACACGGCTGGTTTTACTGCTGTGCAGTCACTGGTGGTTCCACGCTGCACATGTAAGTGCCTCTAAAATATACCTTGAATGTAACATATTGCACAATACTTAGTGTCCTACACTGGAGGTTGGGATTATTCCTCACTAAAAAGCTCCTTGATTTATCTCTACAGCAAATGTTTTTTTATGGAAGAGCTCCATCTTTGTCTGACTGCAAAAAGATGAGTACATTTAACAGGAGAAAACCAGGGAAAAGAGAAAAAAAGATCTTTATTGAGTCAACCTGATATGCAATAGTTCTGTAGGTGAACACTTCATTTGAGATTTCTCTTTTTTGTTTTTTTTCTGAATGTTTTGTATATTTAATACGGGTTGCACTACGCAGTGCACATGTCTTCAATCAATCTTATATACAGATACAATCAATAAAATCATTAAACCAAATAAAACAATATTCCAGTTCATTCTCAATACTGTTCAAATGCAGACGTTTACTCACAAATAAACTTATTCTTAATAGGACAATAAATGAATGAGGGAGAATAATACATTCTGTTAGATTAGTTCCTGATGAGAACAGGAGTCAGAGATAATGTTTAAAGAGAAAACAGCTTAAAAAGTTGATATGGTGCCGCTGCAAATGAAGTCTCTGCTCAGTGGAGTAAAGCTGCTGCCAAAACTCCAAATACCATTCAAACCACTGATTTGCAGCACAGTGTCAATGCCAACCATTTTACATTTCACACAACACCCAGTATGGGCAAAACATCTACAGTAGAGTACATGCTTTAAAAAACAGATACGTTTGGGGTAAGGTAATATATTTAAGATCACACATACGTTATTATTAGGACACTAATCATGTTCCCTCCTGGTAAGTTTGTAATTTCCTGTCTTCATGTGAAATTATGGAGTAAGGAAATGGGGTGCGGTCATTTTTACATTTCAGAAGTCATGTTACAGGAAGCGTCTTGTGGTGGGGCTGAAGGCCTGTGAGATGCATGTCATGTCTTTGTAGGGAAGACGTAAGATAGAGGACCTTATATGGAGAAGGCTTGGTTCTAACGTTAAGTCCTCCAGGCTGCAGCGGATTGACTCACTCTGACTATCTAATTAAAATAAGTAACCCTCCACTAAGCGCTGTATGGTTACACACCTGCTACACTTGGCTCAAACTGTTTCAACAGTGAGAAAAGTGCATGTTAATGGAGGAGACAGCAGTTGGGGAGGGGACAAAATGGCAAAGTACCCTTTTCATCCAAGCCAAACATCCCAATTAAGCGCACTTGAGCAGCGGTACGGTGGTGGTTGTCATGGTTTGACCCCCGTCTCTTACTACATCAATCAGGCGGCTGGAAAACACGAGATGCCAGGCGGACCTACACGGGAGCTTTCAGTCAAATCGCCATGACAACACAAACAAAACAGCACAAAGCGGCACCAAGCCCTCGATGAATAGTGAATGCGCTTTAGTCATGTCAGAAACAAGCCCGGCTGACAAGCGCTGCTAAAGCAGATGAAGGCAAAGCAACGTTTTTACCTTAAAATAGCAACTTTAAATTCAGTTTAATTTGGAATAGAGAGAATGGTGCCGCTTTCATTTCCACTCCTCACCCTGAACGCCTGTTCTTGTACAATCGCCTGGAATAAATATGGAGCTGCTAGAATCAAACCAAACTTTAGATCACTAAAAAAACCTGCGTTTATACAGTTATGTTTTAGTGCAGTGAGTGGGACTACGCACGTGAGAGCTCGACACATTAATAGACTTTGTTTTCACGCTTGGACACTGAACCAAGCAGAATAAGTGACCATGTGTGGCTGCAGAGGGCGCAGTTGCTCAGTAAAAAGTACATAGTGTAGCTTTAAAAGGGTTTCTAGAAATTGAGCCTAAGTCATGCACCAGATTGAGGTTGTAACTCAATTCATGGCTCATTCAAACTCTCCTGCGTGTTGTAGCCAGGGTTTTAGGCTTTCTACCAACCAAAGTGCCAAGATAACTGTTAAGTTTCACCTACTGTCTGGATGGCAACGTGTTCTGGCTGCATTCAGGCATAGGAATACTTTATCACTGGTTCAATCTTAAGAATATACAGTTTCTGTGCTTTCTAGCACCTAAGATGTCAAAAACGCGGGTTCACTCAAAGGTACAACAATATAACTCAAGACGGCACTCTAACACTAATGGATACTTGGCATCGGAAATGAGTTTCACTTTCATCGACTGTGGTTAACGTATAAACGGACTTGGAAGTTGAGAGCTGTGCAAAGTGCTTGACAGTGCTTTATATCAGGGGATGTCTGTTATCAAGAGCGAGTGGCTATCACTGTTATCACTGTCCCACTGCAGTAATTGTGGGTTGTTGTTCAAGCTGCAAACCACAAAGTCTGCAGGGCATTTTTGTGCGTCTTTGAATTTATACCACATGGGCTCATTCTATTCTAAGCAGCGAACTGTCTCAAGTGGAGACAAAGAGGATTCCATCAAAAAATAATAGAGTGAGCGATCTAAATCAAAATCAAGTTATTCTTTATAACCCTGCCATATAGCATTGGGGAGATTGAAAGCAGATGCCTCAATACAGCTCGAGACAGACACCAGAGAGCTGAGCCGGGGATCAAACACATACTGCAGATGACATTTTTCTACTAAAACACACATGTAACCTGAACACGTCTTTAGGAGCCTGCATAAAATCACAGTTTATTAGATTATTGTCCGTGAAGATGATAAAAAACTGAAAGATTCAAATGGTCTCTATTAAATGTCACTTTCCATGTTAAAATGTTCCGGAGATTTAATAGAAGAGACAGAAACAAACGCTCTGGCAGCTACGCAGCGCAGACCACACGCTTTCTGCCTCACAGATTTCAGCGAGTTTTTCTCCACCTGATTTTATTTTTTCTGGATCCGAGCCGAACCAAACATCAAGGTTCAATGTCAGACAATGTAAGTCACATATCTCTTTGTACATCGAGCTTTACAATTTGAATACTTTTTTACGCTACAATGGTAATCACTACAATATGTCTTTTTTATGTGTTATATTATATCTAAGTGATTCTTTATATATTGAACCATAAATAAGTGCCTATTCTGAGCTGCTGTGAAGTTTTAATTCTATATCTATAGGTCATTCAATTTGACTGATGGTTTCTTTGCTACAAATTTAAAATGATTAACTTGAAGTAGCTTCATCATGTGGAAAACAAAGGTAGTTGCGTGAAAAGGACACATCTGGAGGGACAGACCCTAATGCAAACACATTAGCTAAAATTAGCTTGTGTTCCCTCCAAGTATGCATGCCACTAAAACAGCAAACAAGAGGATACGAAGGGCAAGTAGGGGAAGTGAGGGGTCGATGGAAAAAGAGGGGAACAATTTCGCTGTGCTGACCTCTTCCTGACCTGCGGTAACCAGACAATGATGAACGCAGGCATGCATAATTTTTTTTACAGACTTTATAACCATATAAGTAATCATAAGTAGTGCTATAATAGCGTGTCCACTCAAATCAATAGAATTTGCCAGTGGAAGTCTTTCCATGTGGAAGCCTGTCAACAAATTCCTGAAAAAGGAGCTGGAATAACCACAGACAACAAGGATGGAAAGAGTCTGGAGGAACAGGCATCCGCACACGAAATGTACAGAACTAAGTCCTTCCTCCATTACACGTCTATACAATACTGGGTGGTCTCGCTTTTGAAGGTTAGTTGCTTTGTTAAAAGTTGAACCAAAAACACAGGATTAACATAACAAAACACAGCGTGAATAAACAAAAAGGCATCTTTCGTACAACGTACTATTTTTTTATAAAATGGCTCATGCTAACCTTTCAAACACGAAACCATCTCAGCGCTCACAGTAACGCTCTCCGATAGATTATTCGACTCCAGGTCTGGAAGTTAAAACCAATGCGCCTCCACTGGTTGATATAAGAGGTCTTTGTATAGAAGTCAATTCTAAAAAATTCTAGGAGTTCATGGTCTCAATCATTAGTTTCAAGTTCAATACAGCATGATGCTCATTTAGTATATTATGGCCCCATTTCGAGTAAAATTGACCATAAAGTATAGTATGTATTTGGGTCATGGACACCGTGTGACTTACAGTTAGTATCGTCCAACGGGTGCAGGTCACAGGTATCGGTGTGTGTACATTATTCTCCTCCAAATATAGTTACTGTTGTCATGACGTCTTTTGGGACATTTTTAGTAAATATAGCTACGACACCCAATGAATATTTATGGAACAGATATACTCTACTCCAACTCGTATTTTTATTTAGTGCCTTTCAACGGGCAAACTCCTTAAAAGGAACGAGGAAAACAGGCTGCGGTCGTCTTATCGTGAGGAACCGGCCTTAAATTATGTACATAATCGGAGGATCAGTTACATATGGGACGCATATGTTGAGTCATTACATCATTACTCCAGTTATCTTATCCATCTAAGTAAAACAATACTAGATGTGATACCAACAGATGGTTATTCTTTACAGGAAAGTCTATTTTACATTGTCGATGTCTAATGAACCTGAAAATAAGCCTGTGGTCGACTCAATTTTCTACTAATTCATGTAATGGCAGAGCTGAAGTAATGGTTAAACTGCTGGCAGATGTTTCCATATACCTTCTACTGACTAACTCTTCCCTTGGTAAATACAGATACAGAAATAGCAGATGGATAAAACTGACATCAGCAATAATTAGGAAAAAGTATGTAAATAAATGGATATATAAACGTTTAGCTATAGTACAGCATGTACTGTGTTGGCCTGATGTGACAATAGGATTCTGGTATTAATAGACAAATGGAAAAATGATCCCTGGCACAATAACAGGAAATATAAGCCATTCACTCTGAAAATCAAATAATGCGAATGGCTCTGCAGCTCCTGACCACTGATGACTCAGCACAGGGCTGCTGGTGGACACAGGCGGTATTCAACACTTTTATGGTCCAGAGCTTAACCGCAACCATGACCACAAAAAATGACTTGTCAGACCTACAACTTCATATGCACTCCAGATTTTAATAGATGCAAAGTTCCTGTCGGGTCACCTGTCTCATTTTGTTCTAAATTATACTATGAAAACATGACACAGCACATATCACCAAAGAGAAATCACATTGAGGAGTCAAAAATCTAAATGAAAGTAGGATATGTGTCGTCTTGTACCTGCAGACCCTTAAGAATGTGGAGTTTTATGTAGAAGGTCGATATATTGTCAAATGTTTTGATTTCATTTTCATCTTCACCTCTGGAAAGATTTAGATTTTCTTCTATCTTTATACATTTTAATACTTAAATGTACTCCAATGTCTAATCAGGTGACGAGTGTGGAGCTCCTTCAGTTGCGTATTGTTTTTGAGATATGATGACAGGATGTGTGCCAACAGCTACATGCATGTCTGACACGTGCCAGGTACCATTATTATCACGATGGCAAGGCATAAAAATAGTCTGAGCAGCTATGCTGGCCTTTTCATACCCTTTGGAGTAATTATGTCCTGACACAAAGCCACTTCTCTTCTCGGCACATAACTTTCAAAATGTTGTAACCGATCCCGCCAACAAATAAACACTGTAACTGACCTTGGATGTGACACTGCGATCGCAATTACGTAACAGGAAGCAGTTAGAGGTGAAAAACACGGCTCAGTCTGCAGCAGACAGTTATTTTCACAGCACACAGTCACACTGGTAGATGAAAAGCTGACTACTTCTAATCCTGTTTGACAAGAGGCATGTTAGTATAATTGAGACACTTCAGACAGCCCCGGGCTCAAATTTACCAAAGATCAACATTAAACTCCGCTGCACTTCCTTGAATGAACGCAACAATATGAACTTAAAACTATGTATAACTATGTATAGGTTGAGGATGGACCTGTCATATAAACAGGCCTGATTCTCAAACAGTGCACGGCTCCTCCAGCAGCTCGCCCCCCAGCTCAGGCCTAGACAGAACCTCGTCAGCCCACTCGGAATTTATGTGGCACAAAGATAGTTATTACAGAACCACTGTGGCTTTCTAGAGTTTCATTCTAATGGGCTGTTTAAAGACAGGTCCTGGTGCTTCCACTGCAGCCCCAGCACACACTGTCTCCCCTGCGCCTCACATCAGGACTAATACCAGGGAGAAAGGCCAGGGCACTTCGCATTATCCCTCATCCAAATGACAGCAGGCGTTAACAGCCACCGGCTTAATCCTCCAAATATATCCTGAAAGGCCGTCAGAGAAATTCAAGGGAGGGTTTTTGGTTTTTTTTACTTCCTAAATTGACGGATGTTGTGGTCACGACTCAGTTATGTAATATTATTATGACAATAGTCACAGTCTTGACGGGGGATAGGTCAAGACTGCAAGGGGGGCTGCGGAGTAACAGGGGCCATGAACTGTTAGAGAAGACGTCAATATCCAGCAATGAGTGTCCCTAAGGAGATGAATGGGACGTGAACTTTATCACTGACTAGGCAAATGGCATAGTGAGCGTGAGTAGCATTCTTCAGAGGTGTCATGAAGCGAAGGGTACGCAAGTGGTGTTTACGTGTGTGTGTGTCACTCACCCTTGAGATGGTGAGGGGCACACAGAAGTCCTTCCCTCCTTGCAGTCTGAAGCCCCAGGGGGCAGGGCCAGCCAGGGAGACGCTGTAGCTGCTGCTCATGATTCACCTGGAGACAGAACAAGACATACTTTTATACTCGTTGTGAGGTCGGTTCTACGCACATAGAACAAATATTCAGATACAACAGAGAATACAAACGGAAGATAATAACAGGAATAAAGAAAATGTGTATTCGAGCATTAGGTTGTATACATGTGATCTGCAGCCTACACTGACATTTAGTAAAGATTACTGTTATCAATGTACAGCACTGTAATCTGCTCAATCTGCTAAAACCCAAACAAAGCATTCCACTGATGAATATAATTTGAAGGTTGTGTATGCTGCTGCTTTTTTTTCCCATCCCTGTGAACTATAATAATTATCTTACCTCTAAAACACTAAAGAATGTTCCCTCTTTTCCTGTTTGTCCCAATATCTCATCACCAATATTAAACAGTCAGTCTCATGGGTTTGATTGACTTTTCTCATACGGAAGCTGTTTGAATTCAAGCGTAACTTCCTAATATTAGCTCTGACCACGAAGCAAGGTTCCACTTTTTTTCATTTAGGATGCTCAAAAAACCCTCTCGAGTGCAAACAAGTATGAAATGCTCTTGATGAAATTCTTCCAGAGCATTGGATGTGATGTTTGCAGAAAAGAAGGAGGGAACAGTTAGAAATATGTGACACATAAACACAATAATCGTTTGTTTACCTACAAAGAATCTCAGATCAGAGACTCTGTCCTCTCAGTGTCTGCTCACTGAGATGTAGGAAATAAAATATGATCACACTGCCGTTCGAACACATAGGGGTTAAATGAAAATTACCAGTGGTGGGGTAACTCTTTTCAATTAAGCATTGGAAGACATCTATTTTATTCCAATTATTCCATCTTCACATTCAGCCAGAATCATCAATCACACTCATTCCTGGGGTTTAGAAATTAATAAAACATTAAAATCGTAAAATAAAACAACCAGTGTGCAGTAAGATCTTGCTAAAAACCCCTGTTAAATTATATGTGACAGAGTGAGCACTGATCTTTCCTGAGACAACTGTCGTGCTGCTCGGCCCAAACACTGATAAATTAGAGATGAAGGCAACACCCTGGATGTCTGGAGACTTGTTGGAGATCAGCTTCACTTCTACCAGCTCAGAGTTTCATTGCTGCCACAAATGGCTATTGCAGCCTACATTACATACATTACCTCATGGGTTGATCATATCCTGATTATAGTAAAGTGCATGCAAATTAAAAAGACAGTTCCAGAAAATGAGACATTGAAAAGAGGATTTGAGGCCATGAAATAGTTCATGCACAGTTGATTTTCACTGGTTGAAGCCCTGCCTGTCATGCATTCCTTTTCCCCTGAAAACTGAAGCTGTAAGCTATTTATTGGAAGCAAGACCCAAGTTAAGTGCAGTCACATGTTGAGATTTAGAGCATTATCTAATTCATTAGGTTGATGACTGAGGATATTGGCTATACTATATTGGCAGAATACACTTTACTATCCAGTGAGAGAGAGAGAGAGAGAGAGAGAGAAAGAGTGTGATGTCGGTATTGCTGCTGCTGTGCACAGTTCGGCCAAAACCCCCAGATCATGTGGAAATACATGATGTCACCTTTGAACTGCCCAATGCAAAGAGAGGATGTTGACATGAAAACACGACATCAAAAGACTCGCCCATGAGCATTACACGTCATGTAGTGTACTATGCAATTACAAGGAAGAGAGGGAAGTACAGAGGTGAAGCTGAATCATCTGGCTTTGAACAGACATGATAATAGTTTAGAATTTACAACTGAGACCCAGAGGAGGCGTAATGTTTGAAAAGATGGTGAAGGAAACTGGGGGTGAATAGAGAGTTATAGCTTCTATCCATTTGTAATGAAATGAAAGGTTTAATGATGATGACACAAGTTTGATAAGGTGCTCAAATTTTTGGGCTTTGGAGAAATTTTGCCAAGTTCATAATATAATTGACACTGGAAACCTGTCCAGGATAAACCCCGCCTCTCACCCAAGGTCTGCTGGGATTGGATCCAGCCCCCAGACCCCCACAACCCTTAAACGACAGTGATGGATGGATGGAACACATGGATGTGTATCGAACTTCTTAAAACTAAGAAACTGAATATTTCAACCTCTGCCGTGAAAATAACCATCAATACTGTATATATTCATTTGTGCTTGGCAGTTAAGAGTAAACATACTTTCCCAATGAGTATTTCTTATATAAGTACACCTTGTAATCCCAGAGGCATGTCATTTCAACATTGCAAGTAATGCAACCATCACAAATCCCCTCAGGGCCGCAGCACCACCTGCTGCAGCCCGTCACCTGGTCGGTTGTACGAGACACAAATCAAATCAGAGGCTCATGCCTACACGCTGTCTCATCATCGCCACGCCTGGAGGGGAACAGGCCTCTTTAAAGCCGAGAAGACATAAAAGTGTGCGGGGAGGCGGAGGAGAAGGAATAAAAATCTCATGTGAAAGTGACAGGGAGTAGCCGAACACCTGCAAAGCAGCAGGGGATAAACAGCTTTACTATTTATGCTATGCACTTTCACAATCAAGCGGATATAACGAAACACACATTTGCAGAATATGCAAGTCTATAAAGGGACAGAGAGCAATTGAAGACAAATGAGAGCCGTCTCCCTCTTCAAGGTGACTTAGAGTTAAGCAGAGAAAATGTAAAGGTCTAAACAAAACGATTTTCCATTCATTGCACAACTATCGATACCAAACGGTTATAGCAGTCTCTAGAACATATGAATACATACTTATAAATATGAATAAAAAAGCTTTTTGAGATTTACTACAGCACGATGCACAAACGACGTCATGAAAGCTGCTGACGCCACAACCACAACTTGAGTGAGTCAACACATTTAAACAGGCAGCAATGGCAAAAACTGTTTTCTCAAGTGACACAAAACACAATGGACATCAACACTAGATTTTATGCCACACTCTTTGATCCAAAAGTCCCAGTTAGAGGACACGCTGCCATTGTTAAACCACCAGCCCTCGAGGAATGCACAGCATTGGATTGCTGTATCACAATTACATCAGATTCCTTCCGTATTAGATTTCCCAGACAGTGAAAAGGTGCGTGACATGTTGGTAGAAGGCAAATAGCTGGAATTTTGGCTCACGCAGACCCAAAGTTATGCTGGACCCGCATATCAACCGCATTTCTCTTCCTAATATGGAGAAAACAAACATAAGGCTCAACTCATCTCGTGTCACTGCCTGTTTTCCAGTCCCCAATGATATCATGCATAGACATGAGCAGACACACCTTCTCAGTGTTCCCAAACAAAGGCAAACAGTCGGGCTGTGCACGGAATATTTTATCAGCAGCACCCACATTAACCTCTTTTTTCCTGGGCTATTTATGAGCATAATCCTGGTCATTTGTCAGTAGGGTCTTATCTTTTATAGTTCCTGTCATAATGGCACTTTATTCTGCTGAATGTTTCAACACTTTCGCACCAGCAACAAGATTAAAACACAATCCTTTCAGCACAGGACACAGGAGAACTGCTGACCAAGTTATCTACAGGCTCAGACATGCTTACGTTCTTGTAGTAGATGTAATATTAACTCGCTTGCTATGCAGAATATCTAAATGGTTTGATGCTGAATTTAAATGCAACTGAATTTACAGTAAATGTGACCTGCCAGGTGAAATGTGTAAAAATGTTTGGGGACGTTTGGGTTAAAAATTGATTTAATTACTGTTGAAAATAATAATAATCATTGTAAAAAAAAGCTTTCATGATTGGAAATGAAACACGGGTCACAGAGTTTAACATGACTACATGTTCAACATGCTCAGTTCTCAGTGCTTCAGGAGACAATGTGGCTGGTGACATCATCATCATCATCAACAGGACATGTTGACTCACAGAGGGAAGTTGATTGTGTGAGGTCATTAACTGCACCAATACCTAACTGTCTATGAAAATAAGATGTGTGGGCATCACATTTCAAAATGCTTCATTTGTCATTATCAAAATAAATGAATGAGGACAGATTCACCATCTTAAAACCATGTGGACTTGTTCCAGCCTGACTTTATGGGACACTTTGTCCACATGTTGGGTTTAAAGCAACAGTTAACTCTGTTTCCTGGTCACAAATGAAAAAAAATAAACCTTTAGTAGAATATGATGACATTCCTACTTCAGCTGCCTATTTCCACACATCTTACCTCTGATAATATGAATGAAATACATGAACTTAATCTGATAATAACAACATGACACGAGCTGCAGTTGATGTCATGGGGCAGATCAATAATTACCCAGGTTTTCTATTCACAGAACCTGACCCTCCCTGCACTGCTGATTTCCTCTCACGCAAACTGAGCATTAATGTGTGTGTACTCTTTGCTCCAGTGGGTGTGACATTAAAACACGTCTGACATTATTCTAACACACTCTCAGCCTGGTTGTCACTGGTTCAAAGCCAAGTTAAAGTGTGGACAACTGTGGGGGTGCTGCTGGAATAAAGAGTTTATTAGACTAAAAGTACACAAGGAAGTTTTTATGATGTGTTTGAAATAGAAACTCTGTGACAGCATCGTAAAGTTGAAGCAGTAAAGCGATCAGAGACGATGAGTTCCAGTCAGTGTTCAGGTGTCCGGACTCACCTCGCTCGTGAAGCCGGGTCCGGTGCTCAGACTCTGGGAGAGGAGCGTGACTTTGGTCCGTCGCTTGTCAGTTTCCTGGAGGAGTGGAGAGAGCGGAACTGAGGCTTCCGCATATAAACCAGCCCCACGAGGGTGTGTGTGTGTGTGTGTGTGTGTGAGGGAGAGAGAGAGAGAGAGAGAGAGAGAGAGAGAGAGAGAGAGAGAGAGTGTGTTCGTGTGAGAGAGAAAGACAGAGATCGAGAGAGAGAGAGAGAGTGCGTGTGAGGGAGAGAGAGCGTGTGTGTGTGTGTGAGTGAGAGAGAGAGAGAGTGTGTGTGTGTGTGTGTGTGTGTGTGTGTGTGTGTGTGTGTGTGTGTGTGTGTGTGTGAGGGTTCCAGCCTTTGACTGGAGGCCACACTGAGGCTGTTACAGGTGCAGACTTGACAGACTTGCCACAGTACAGGTGAGTTGCAGCAGAGCTGTTTTTAAATCTACAAAGTGGAGCTGAGCTCTTCCCAAACTGCCAACCTTAGTTCAATCCCAGCCCTCCCCATCTGCTGCAGAAGTGTCCTTGGACAAGATACTGAACTCCGAATGGCCCCTAGATACACTGTATGTGCAGCATGTGAATGGGTGAATGGCAAAACTTGACAAGACTAGAAAAGCTCCATATAAACACTTTTATCAGCCAGTGCATGGTAACAAACACTAGAAACCTGTAGCTACCACCATCTGTATAAGCCCTTAACTTTGTTAAAACTCTCATTGGTATTTCTGGGTCAAATAAAGTCATGTAAATCAAGAAATGGAGCTATTTGTCTGCGGTGGTGAATTGCCCTATATTAAGGACATATTTTCATGATGTTAGCAAAGAAATATTTGAGCGTGTGACAGGGCAGCAGCTTGCCCTGTTGCATGAATGGGCCATTCTTTCCACTGCATGCATTCTAAACGCCTCATGTGTAGGCTGCAGGGCAGATAAGTTATAAATGCACCAGTCTTTTATCCACCAGCACACATCAGTATGGGGAGCAATTTAAAAACACTGAATGTGAAGAATCATCAATTACTCCACTGGTGTTTTTTGTGCTTTGACATTCACATATTATATCTTATAGGTGTTTGAATACAGTTTGACACAATCACAGTAGAGAAGCACATGCATTATTATTTTTTGACCGTGTTTTCATTTTTTAACTTTGCATCTGTTTATTTTCTTTCTTAGTATAAAGCAGAGTTTTGTTTTTCATTATAACTGTTTTATCATCCATTATTTCAGCGAATATTAATTTTACGGTCACTGTACTGATATTGGCAGTGAAACATGCTAGTGGCATGGGGTTGGTACGCTCTCTAGTGGCCAGCAAACAAAGTGCATGCTCAACACCTTGGAGGCCTCTATACAATGAATGGCCTCAGGGTGGGAAGTTGTGTCACTCATCTTGTCTTGTAGACAGAGCATCTAGCCTGAGGCTGAGGTTTTCATGAAGCAACTCAAGGCAATAACAAATAAAGAACAATATAAAAGTATGAGTTGTACAAACGTATCATAGACAATAGTGCTGGTAGTCAGTGAAAGTCATCATTCAACAATATTAGGAGCCAAAGTATATGACTCAAAGCGTTTTAATTTAATTCAGTGTTTTAATTCACAGCGAGCGAGTGGATGTGTTGATAACATTTCTAGCACACGACAGACACAAAACTGGAAGAACACAATTATCTCAAGATAAAAGGACGGAGTTAATCAAGTAGAAGAGACAAGACGACAATGTCAACTTGGAAAAACAATTAGATTCAAGAGCTTTTGGCGATGAAAGGCCAACGCTGGTGTCCCTGTAGGGTAACCCTGCACTCTTCATCTGAGAAAGGCAAACTCCAGACCAGATTTTCCAAAGTGAAAACAACATTACTGTCTATTACAGCTCTCACATGTGTAGTGCATCCTTTTTTCCACTGTGATATTTTAAACAAACACACATTGATCTTTTGCATGTTACACACAAAACGGCCTGGCCCATTCTGCAGATTACCATTAACTGTTCAAAGTCGCTGCAGCCAGATGCCATTAGATGTTTGCACTGTGGTCAGCTGAGCTTTTGTTCAGCTGCATGTGTGTCATGTCAATATATGGTTGCAAACAGAAGGGAAGCCCAGAAGCAAAATCCCCCGGTGATGTGCTATTGAACCACTGAAGTGTGTTAGTCCTTTATGTAAGGCACATACCTTTAGATCCTCCTTTCATAACTGGATGAGCAGAGCACTCAGGAAATCCCAGAATTAATGTTCAGAGACAGTTCAAAAAGGTCCTTTCTGGGTGTTTGAATCAAGCGTCTCTAGATAAACACTTGAGGCAACTGTACCATGTGATGAGCTTATAGTAAAAAAAGAGAAAAGGATGTACATTGTAATGCAGTTTCCGCTCATGGAGTTCATCAGATCCATAATATTATGGATGTTGATTATAATGGTGGCTCAGCTGGTCACATGCATTAAAGTGTCCTGGTTTTTAATCTAATGGAGGAAATCTACTGGATCCCATCCCCTCCTCATCCTCCCCCTCTTCATCTGCATTTTCTCTGCTGTTCCAATGTGAGCAAAAATACTGACAACCAATCATTAAATAAGAGGGATTTTTAGTGATTAAAGCAGAATTATGGGAAAATGAATCCACCTCTATCTGCTTCTTGACAGAATGGATTTGCAAATAGTTTCAGCAACATATTGTTTCCATTCGGCAGGTTCTTTCTGAGGTCTTTATTTGTTGACAACCTCATGAAAGGTTTATTTCCCTGAAGCACAAATGGGATATTTCAAAAAATAAAACAAGTAAACTCAGTGATTACTGTTGAGCCAGACTGTCCCTGAATAAAGATGACGGCATGAGAAAGTATCATAATGAATGATGATGATGATGATGATGATGATGATGATGATGATATATGCTCCTCTGGTGTCAGACTAACTTTGCTGAAATGTTCACACGCTGGTTTTCAAAATTCTTTATAAAAGAAATGTATAACACAGTTCCAAATTTAGATGCAGTGATGGAAAATCTTAGATTGTGTAATGCATAATGTCCAACTTGTGCTATGTAATGAGACAGTCAGCAACTTACAAAACATGATAAACACTGTGATGCTGCATCATAATTACACTATAATGAGTTCTGTTGTCATGGTTGCACACAAAAAACATAAAACAAACGTATTTGGTTGCATTGCATTGTCAAACAGTTGTTTAAAAATATATCCTTTAACATTCTTCCACAAAAAACAACTTGTTTACTTTGCTGTGTTACAGTAACACAGAGCCACAGATAAATAAACTATTCAACATTTATCTTCCTGGTGTCGGGGAGAGAGACTTCAGTCGGTGAGCTCGACAGTCCAGAGTGACAGCCACAGTGCTGAAGGCCTTTCTCTGAATCTGGTCTGATGCATGGGAGAGCGTACGTACATTTACATCCAGAGAGTCTGACTGGAAGAGGACACACAATTCCTTCTCGTCTTCCTCCATCTGGACTTGTGTGTGTGTGTCTCTCTCTCTCTCTCTGTTCACGTTATCTCTCTCTCTTGCTCATCTTCCTGTTCCCTCCCTTTAATCCAGCTCTCAGGGCTCTCCTCCCTTTTTCCTCCCCCAGGTGGAGGGCTTCACCATGTTGACGGACTCAGGCGACAGGCTGTGGTCGCATCCGTTCAGTGGGCCTCACTGTGGGATTGAAGCCTGGAACTGAATTCAAATAAAATGCAAATTTAAAAAGCTTGACCCTTCTGGTGATAACGTGACTGTGTTAACATCTTTAAAAACATTTATTTCAAGATGGTTTGGTTCATAAAATCAATTGATAAAATGCTGAGCAGACCTGTTCCTGGCTTTGGCTTCCCTTTTCGTTGGCCTGTTCAGCCAATGATTTGTACTCTTTGTCCTTCAGAGCTCCGAGGGAATAGCTTGACCTCAAACAATGGCTCTTGTCCATAGGGTCCAGCTCCACGTCGCTCCAAACCTGCTACATGGGATACGCACATGAATATCAAGGTGAGTATATGCTTTACTTTTAGTGACTGTATAGTAGTAGCTTGTACAAGTACACACAAAAAAAAGGTCAGTAATGTGAAGTTTAGTTAAAACATTTATAAGGTCCCTATGCAAAGAGCCGAATTTAATTCCTAATGACTTTAGACTTTATAAACCAAAAGATATGAGCTCTGCCATTATGGGTTTAAAACAAACACAATTGTTTAAGCCTGACGCTGATGCTGCTGCTTGACCTGTGTCTTTAAAGCCCATGAGACTCACTGTGTCTGTCGTAGACATGGAAGAGACTCTGTGAAACTTGGTTTTGGACACCGAGGACTGTCTGCTCAGCATCGAGTCCCTGAAGGAAGACTCACTGTGTGACACTGATATGCAGTCCCGCCTGGAGGCCTGGTTTAAGAAGTGGAGACAGGGAACCTTTTCTGCAAGTGTGTCCCTGTTGGAGGAAATATAAAATCTAAATACATTTCACTATCATTTTCACATTCAGGTTGGTTGTTCAGTAATTCAGCAAAGAGTTGGTGTCACTGCTCACTCACCTGTATTTGGCGTGGATGATGGCGTAGATAAAAGGGTTGTAGATGGCTGATGCTTTGGCTATAACAGCAGGGACAGCTTTGGAGTAGGGATTGAGGATGTTTCCGTATCTGAAAGTTGTAAAGAGTAGAACTGTGCACATCATCAGTGATGATACTGGGATTGTAATTTGATAGGGGTCGACCGATTCATCGCTTTGGTCGATTAATCAGAACTAATAGGAATGTCAGTATCAGCTGAACTGATACTTCCAGTGAGATGTTACTGAGTTGTCATGGTGACAAAGTTGTTCCTTTAGTTCAATATTTTCTTTCTAATAATGCCTAACCTGGAAACCCCCAGCAGATCCCAGACCCAGGAAAAAACCTTGTTAAGGTAACTTCATTTTGTACTTTACATTATATAGACAGCTTGATTCTGACATAAACCGATTAAGATTGTTATAGAAGGGTATTTTTTTACATGTATAATTGGTTTATTGACCAATTAAACAGCTGTTGGTTTCTTCCTGCCCAAAACTATTGATAAATCAATCTTAAAATACTATCGGTCGACCTCTATGTGACCCGCTTAGCATTTTCATCATGCCATATATATAGACTATGGAATATGAGTCATGATTAATGGCAGGAATGAATTGCAGAGTGCAAGCAAGCATCCTTTATGTTTTACACTTTATGCCGAGCTACAACTAATGCTACTGAAAAACATCAAGGGACCATACAGGGCCCCTGTGGTACTGTATATATTTACCCAGCCCAGGCGATGAGGGTGACACATGCATAGGGCGACCAGGAAAGCACAAACACTATGATGACCACAAAGGCAATCTTGGCCAGCTTCCATTCAGTCTTGATGGACTGCTGCTGGATCAGGGTTGACTTCCTCACCTGAGACCCCAACTTCTCCACATCTCTGTCAGGACACAGAGAAGCAACAAAGGGATGTAGTCAATATATATGAGCCTGAACAGAGGCTTATGAAAATAAATACAACTAAAGTAAAACTTGATTTTAATGTATACTACAGACACACTGAGACAGGCGTATAAGACAAGATACAAGATAGCAAAATATTCAGGTCAGGGAAACAGGTGACAAATTCAAGATACATCTGATCAACTTATTCTTATTTTAGTTTTTCTGCTCACTTGGACCAGGAGCTGCAGCACTTCAATAGTGTGATGCTGTTTTATGCAGTTATTAAATAGACCTTCTGAAAATTAAAATGAACATATGCTTCTTCATTCACCTGCTTGCATGGCGGATGGCCAGGAACATGCACAGATAACAGTAGGATATAATTCCCAGAGGGATGAAGAATACAAAGCAGCATAACATCAAAGTATAACTCTTATTGGCTGGAGTCGATGTCACATAGTCCCACGTGCATGATGTCATCAGGCCCTCGGGAATGTACGAACCTTGAGAAAAATATGCGACGGTCAAATGAGAAGGAAATGGGCATGTAAAAGTATAACAAGAGGGCAGGTGCATTAAAAGTGTGAGAAAGATGAGTTACTTACTCCAACCCAGGAGTGGTGCAAGGCTCCAGGCTAATGAATACAGCCACACCAGGGCAATAAAGAGGCAAGTGCGTCTCTTTGAGGTCCATCGCAGGGCCTGCAGAGGCTTGGTGATGACGATGTAGCGGTCTATGGAGATTGCCAGGAGGGTTATCATCGAGGTGATTCCAAATAAAGCTCCACAGAAGGCATACATTTTACACCCTGTGGAGAAAAAGAAAGAAAGATATACTTTTGATTACCTTCACCGGAATAAGGTAATTCTCTTAATCAGAACAATGTCGGAATATTGCTGTCCATGCCAAAGCCGTTAGTGTTGGCAATTATTTTTACATTGCATGGTAAAAACAGATGTTCTTATATTAAGTATAATACAGACAAAAACAATACAGAGTTACAGTGTTAAAGGTTTAAAAAAGTGACAAAAATACCTGTTTCACCAAAAATCCAGCCTTTGTACAGTGAGTTAACGAAGAAGATGGGCGACTGCGTGATCGCCATGAGGAAGTCACTGACGGCCAGATTCATGATGAAGAAGTTGGGCGGCGTCCTCAGATTCTTGTTGCTGGAACACATGATAATTAGATGTCTCAGATCAATAGTGGTCAGGATCTCACAGAGCAATCTGTTGTTGTTGAATTGATTGAGTGGAGATAATAAATGACTGTTATCTTGTTGAAGGGCCAGCTTCAACTGTTTCTTCCTCTTATGTCTTAGAACAACAAGACTTTGTTGCTATAGATTTAATATGTGGTGTAATGCACCCACTGCTTTTATGAACATGAAAATTTTTTGTTAGAAATAATGCAGATACATATATCTAACATTTTCTTTACTGGATGTTGCCTCATGTATGTTCACTCGTTCTAGCAGCCTCTATAATTTGTGACTGCACGTTGGAACCATATGGGCCTACAAAACATTAAGTGTACTGCTTTTAATAGCCAACAGTACTCTGTAAAAAAAAAAGTCAGCTGATTAATCCATCATTATCCACGCTATGTTAGGTTAATAACTGTAAAGATTGTATTGAAATGGTTTTGTGTGTAAATTAAAATCCAGATGGAGGTTTTATAGAATTATTGTCCTTAAATTTCAATTCTTAAGTTTTCCTGGATCATGAAAGATTTTGATTGGCGCAGAGTGATCCCCACACAGCCAATTAAAAATCCAATCAATAACTCTCAAATCCATATCCTTCTGAGTGAACGTCCACTTCCTGTTTTGTGGAAATCAATGGTAATGGAACTCCTTAACACTAGCTTTCAATCGTACTCTTATTTGTGTGTTTGGATCAAAAAAAGAATCACAAGATTATAAATAAACACATGAGTGCTGTCCTCTTCACATAAAATGAAGGACTGCAAATACAATACAAATGGATTGGATGAAAAAAACCATTCAGTAGCTCCGTACACAATCAGTGAAGCTAGATAGCGGCTATAATGATGAAATGTCCGTCGAAGCAAAAACTTCATCAGCGGAGGTCAAGAATCCAATTATAGATGCCCTTTTACATTGAGATCCATTGTTAGGAAGACAACATGAGAACAACATCAGGGATTTCCAAATATGTCGAGTGCCTGCAGTATATTCACTTGACTCCTGTGGTACTCTCTGAGGGTGACTAGGGAGAAAGAACTTCACGTCATCATGACATTAAATCTTTCCTCTTTAAAATCAGCCATCAAATAGCCAGACGTGTGGGACAACATGAACATTTTGCTATTTACATGCTCTCACTTAATGAAAACCTGTGATACACGTCTGCATGTCTACACAACACATAAGTAACAATAATGAGTCTGGAACTTTGGCAGCCCATGTGGGGGCCTCAGCAGATGTTTCTTTTCTCAGAGGCTGCCGGTGGGCACAGATGGTCGGGTTGTAACGCACGGTGTTGTTGTGTACTTGATAACCTTTTCTGAGCATGCCACAGCTCAGTGCACACACATATCTAAAGCCACGGAAACAAGTCTCTATGGACTTTGCACGGAGCTACCAGTGCACATGATTGTTTCCTAAATTGAAATCTGATAAGCACCTAAATCCAGCTCTAGCTTGTCTCAACGCAGGCGTCAGACTTGAACCTTTCATGTCTCTCATCTGTGAAGTGTTGGCGTGATCTGTGTCAATGAGCATTTTACGCTCACATTTATTATCTAATACTCACTTACTGCAGGTAAAGTACACAGAGTATATAGGGACACAGATGTCAGACGAAAAACTAGTCTAACTGAGCTGAATACAATGATGTGCTCAACTTGACTGAATTATTTACTTGAATATTTACTTTAACCTTCAAATCAGCTCCATTTTATCCAGGCAGCCGTCAGGCATCGCCTTTGCCGATTTTCCCGCCGACAGTAAAAAGGGCAAAAAGAGTAAACACTGCCCAGACAGATGAGTTGAGTTCATTGTGTGTCGACATGCAGGCGAGATGATGGTGTGACTGGAGGAGAGATCGATCTGAGATCCGTAGCTCTGTATCACTGGAGGTGACCTTAATGCAGAACTCATGTCGGAGCCAGGATTGTATCTAACACTTGGTTCTCTACTGCATTTAGTGGCTTACTATATACCCAGGAGTGGCCACAGTTTTATACTGCATACACACAGGTGTGGGTGTTTGCATGTGTATGTGTATGTGTGTGTGTGTGTGTGTGTTTGCTTCAGAGTTTGTCTTTTCAATTGTGTTTCATATTATTTCAAATTTAAGTTTTTGAGTTTTTGAATTTTGATTTCTCAGAGAATAGTTTGTGGCTGTTGAAGAAAAAAACAGGCGTGTTTAGGGGACTGAAATTTATGAGGTTGTGGAATTTAGTGCAGATCGAAAGGAAAATCCAGATCGAGTGAATTTAAATGTGGCTTCATATGGGGATTGCTGAGCTTTGGTGGAGGCTTGTATGAAATCTGAAATATTTTGCTGGATGGAACACACTTGGGATAAATGAATCAATATTCAAAAAACATCATTGTTTTTCAGTTGAGTCATTATTTTCTTCACCAGACAGAAGACACAACTGTTGCTCCCAGCAGTGTCAAAACCTGAGTCATCACACAAGCTGCAGGCAGCTCTCTTCTCCAGGTCTTCATATTAAGAATGAAAGGCAGTGAATGCTACATATTTGACCACATCGTAATACACTAAGAGTCCAAACATAAACAAATATTTCTTTTACAGTTGAGAATGCGGTATAAGATCGTGCAACGCTGAGCCGCCTTACTTTTTATTTAAGCTCGGCCTCTTCATGTGGTCTTAGATAGTAGCCCAGTGTTGAGTCTATGTAGATAAGCAAGTAGCTGATGGAATAATTGAATCCAGTCATTGATTTATCCTGCACAGTTAGAAAATCACTAAGCTGCTTTGTGGTATTGAATGCCTGGAGGCTGCTGTGAAGCCCTCTCTGCCTGTGCTTGTGACATCTGTACTTAGTAATGCAAGAGCACACAGTTTCCCTGTTCAGCGCTCAGAATCTGCGCAACCCCCCACCATTGTAGTGTGTACTGTACAGAGCTGAACGAATACCACTGATTAAAGCCTTTTTGTTTTACTATTGTCTAAAGGTAAGCAGTGTTTAATTTCATAAATCCATATATTCAGGTAGATTGAAGCGACTTCATGCCTTAATGTCGTCATATATCAGATTGATGTTGTAATTTGCTGTTTAATGTGTGTCGTTGAGTGATAAACAGAACCGTGCTCAGGCAGACGGCATCTGTGAACTCGCCCGCTTTGGATTTCCAGCAGAACTTGAACAGTAGAGCACTGTGCTCCCTCGGTCTTAACTGTGCCTGCATGTGTGACTTCCCAGAATCTGTTCTTAAGACCAGCTCACATGCAGAAATGTGATGGGCAGCAAGGATTATTGAATTTGTCAAATGAGGGTGCATTCCTTTTTTTGTGATTACTTCATTGAGTATTACAGTAGTTAGAATAACTAGAAATAATCAGAAGCTACAAGTAAGAACGAAAAACAACTAATGTCAGAGGCATTTTGGGGTTCATCTTGCCCAAGGTCACTTCCGTATTGGAGACTGAGATCGGCCCTCTGGTTAGTGGACAGCCCGCTCTACCTCCTGAGCCACACATTTGTTCCATTAGTTCTTTAGGTTAACAAAGAATCACTTACCAGAAAAAGGCGTACATGACCAAGGCATTCCCAGTGACACCTACTGTCCCAATCACCAAGACAAAGAAGGCGACAATGTAGTGAGCGTGGTCCTGGACATCCACCTGCCGATAGAATCCCCGATCCACATCCATTTCTGTGACAATAGATAGACAATAGAAAACTTTATTGATCCCGAGGGAAATTAAGGGCAGACACATACACAGGTGTCAGCATTAGAGACATAGAAAAGCTGCAGCTTTTAGTTTCCATTCCTATTTGTGAATTAAGTTGCTTCAGTTGTAAGAGTTAACCTCTGTTATAGCTTTTACATTACATTAGATTTTTATATTTTCTATCAGTTTTTTAAATCAAATCCATTTGTTGTTGTTTTTGATTGTTTTCATGCTTTAGAAATGTACCCGTACATTGCTTGGCATTTTGAACACCATCCATATTTCCCTTTTGGAAATCAGAGGAAATCCACATATTTCCTCTCAGCTCACAGTCAATGTTTTGAGACTCAGATGTTTTGAGACTTTGTGGAGTTTCCAAACAGGAAATTTTGGGGTTCGGGGGCCAATGTTGGGAACCGTGACAAAACTGTGCAGCGAATCTGTAGGTTTAGAGGTAAAGTCAGTCTTGTTATTCGAACCCACACCACTGCATGTGTGCACAGCTGTTGTGCATTACAGACTGTCTGCATCATCTTTTAAGCTTTAGGTGTGTGTAGAAATGACTGAGAAGCTATAATTGTACACTTCAGCACTTCCAGCTATTGATTGACATTCATAAACAGTTATGGTTCCTTTTAGAGGATGAATCTTATGACTCCTGTGCTTCTCTGAACTTCACCACGAATTCCACAACTGTGGTTTTCAGTGAAACGCCTCCTCTGGATCATTCATTATAAACTAAACCACTATCGGAATAATAATAATACCTGAAATATTAATGATGACATTTCCATTTGTATTTTATTTAGTTCATGTGAGCAATTGTTATCATGCTAAGCCTTAAAACTATGATGGTAAATATAATAAACCATGTTGACTGGGGTATAGCCCAGAGGTCTGCAGTCAACACTGTGATTTGTAAAACTCCTAATGAACAACACATGTAGACAAAAAATCTATTTTGATTATTTACTTTCCTCTAAAAAAATTTTTAAAAATATGTTTCACTGTGAGCACATTCAACTAAATCATGAATTTTCCATTGTCTAATAATAATGACTTCAGAGCCAAGGAATTAGTGACGATCACAGCTGTTGTTGAAGAAACTCGTGATGAAGTCAAATCTGTAAAACTAGAGAACTTTTTTCATTGAGTGGTTGAAAGGAATGGGAGAGGAACTGATTAGAGTCTCGATGTCTCTGTGGCGAACGGTGGAAACAGGGGAACAGAGACTCGTGATTTATTTCAGACATGATCGAAATCACAAAAAAACTGCACATACATGTTGCTGTCTCTGTGTGTTCAGAGCCGGTGTTGTACTCATGACACTTTGAGGCTTTTTAACCTGTTTACGTTTTTCAGTTCTTCAAGTCTTCTACTTTTGCACCGATGAGAACAGTCTATTATGTAAGGTAAGGATTGGATTACATGGGGAGGATTGATATGAGACAAGTCTCCTCTTCTCCAAAGTCTGACAATTGGAAAGAACGCATTCCTTTTCCAGGAGCTTAAAACTTTCTGCACACTGCTCCAAAAAGTCTCCATCTTGCACACTGTCTTGATGGTACAATTTTAAATTTCCCTGTGGTTTCAATGTAAATGAATGACATGTGTTCTATAGCTCTACAGAATCAGAGGGATTATGACACATAGCCTTTTAATATCGATTATTAACCCTTGCAAACGTGGACATCTTTTGACCACAGCATTAATCACAGAGTTGAAGAGCAATGATGGCCCATCTGATTCAGAGAGGAGATCCTCACTCTGCATTATTGAGCTGAAGCAGTTTTCACGAGGTCATTCTTAGGATCGCCAAAGAATTATTCACCAATCCAACAAGGTAAACCAGATGGCTGAAAATGCATGGGGAAGTTTTCAATCTGCCACAAATGTTGAATGATTGCCATGCTGTAAAGGAGTGGGGGAATACTTATCTAATAAAGAGGTGATTGTGTTGATGCATTTTCCATAATGAAAATGGCTGGACTTTGGTGCATGTGGCCTCTGCTCAGCAGCGGCAGTGATTCAGATTAATTGAAGAGGATTTCTATGTTTTGTTAATGTGATGGAATCAGGAACGCGCATTAAGTCGCGTTTATCCTTTGTAAACCCGCTTCCTGTCCGCCTCTGCTGAACAGAGTTGCAGTCGTTACAGTTCAGCACAATGTCGTGTCACATCAATTTCAAAAGGCGCCGGAAAACATCTGTCGTGTATCGCATTAATAATTTGTTGTACAAGAACAGAAACATGTTATAAATCATGACTCTGAATACCCTGATCTAAAATTAGGCTGAGTGATTATACTGTGCATAATCCAGCAGAGCAGAAGTGGACCTGACTCATAGTACATGCACATGCAGGAGCACGTTGTTCTGCCTCATGTGTGGTGTCTTTTTTTTTTTGTGCTTTATTTGCATCATTGATAGTGCAGCATTTTCTGTGATGGGATGAAAAAATAAATACACATGTACAACACAGCTCAATGGGTGAAGAATACATGGACATGCAGTGAGTCAGGTGCACACAGGGAGCTCTTGCTGTGCTCAGTGAAGCCTTGTGCGTCAGAGGAACTCTCAATCACCTCCTACTCCCCCTCATGGGGTGTGAAAGCATTGTCTCATAAAGTCATATAAATCAAACGCGTGTCTGATGCATGGAGGTGACATGCACCCTGCACGTCTTTTTATGAACATCTCATAACAGTGGCATGCAGGTGCAATGAGTAAGATTTGCCCCGTCTGCTATTTGGGAATTATTTGAATTTGTAATGTTGCATTTAAAATATTTCAGATTTAAGAAGTTGCAGATCTCTTGGAGGATATTTTAAAGACATTAACTTGACAAATGCACTGGGATGCATCATACAAAGCATGATTTGAATCAACAAGTGTGTTTTGGTTTGGGGGTTTTCTTTCTTTATGAGACTAATCTGTTGTCTTGCATTAAAATTAGGAAGAGGAGTCCCCTGATTAAGATACAAACATGAAACTAGAGCGACAAGCGAAAAAACTGAACAGAACCCTCATGTTTCTCCAGATTCTTAGTTAACATAACACAAAACACAATTATGAGATGAATCACATTCTTGAAAACTCGTGTTTACTTTGATAGTCTGCAACAAACACACATTTTAAATAGATTTAGGTTAAAATGTGTTATTGTTCATGAATGTGCAAAAGCAAAAAAAAGGAAAGAGGTTCCCATCAAGTCAAACTGACCTCTACTGTAAAACATGCAGCTGTTCTATTAATAAAAGTGTTACTGTACCTTATCCAGAGAGTGAAGCCCCCTTTTCCTCTCCAGGGCACGTCTGTGTTTGTAAAGTCTAAGTGGTGAAGAGGTTCAGAGACACTGAGGCAGCACAGCTTGTAAAACTGGTGAAAAATCCAACACGCCCACGGATTTGAACAGATTGACGGCTGCTTCTCTGATCCACCAAGTCAGGAGGAGATTCTCTAATGCACAGCAACAGCAGTAAGCTCCTGCTATCAGTACTTGGGAGACTATGAGAATACATAAAGACAGATAAAAAGGCAAGCAGCAGCAGCAGCAGCAGCAGCACATTGACCCATCCCCCTGCTGGCCGCCCATCACACACAGCTCTCATATGGCACAATGCATCGATCAAGCCAGTGTGTGGTGTGTGTGTGTGCATGAGGCTGTGTTACTGCTTGTGTGTTTGTGTGGGAGCTGGTTTGAATACAATTAAGATGTTTTTGGGGTAATAACGTGTAAAATCCAAACTCCTGTAATGCTTTGGAGGAAAAAATTGCATGCAGCTTCCCTTTTTGAATTAAATCCTGCACACTGATTTTCATCAAGCATTGATTTTTGTGCATCTAATACCCACTGCCAGTGGCACAAATGCAGGCAACCAGAAGTCGTTTGCTGGTTTCATGCAAGGTGAGAGAGCGACACCCTGGTTTCCGCTGCATTCCACCGGGAAGTCTTGTGGTTTACAAACGCACCAAAACCCTTTTATATAGTATCAGACTTGTCCCTGCTCATCCGTGTGTAAGGAGAATGTTGAGAAAAGCACTCAGGTAAAAGCCTCGCGATGTTTATCATCTCATGCACAACTGAGCAGGCAGCAGCAGCACCTCATCTACAGGGCTGAGTATTTCCCTTTATGCTGAAACTGGACTTCTTTGTCGGATTCATATCACCTGGACGGGTTGTGCGGATTCAAAACAGGTCAGAAAGATGCAGCAGCTTATAAAACAAGCATTCTTCCTGTGAGGATATACCATCCTTGCAAGATAAGCCCTTGCACTTATAGGTCACTGCACTTCCAAGGGAAACAGGCCTATCAACATACATTTGTTTCCAACCAGCTGGGCTCGCTTTAATAAATCTGACATATGGGATCTCAGTTGTTTGTTGCCTTTTTTGTTTTCTAGGTCATGCATAGTTTTTTTTGTGGATCTTCTTCTGTCATAGAACAACATTGTGATTATCACCTGATTCACTGGCCGAGCGTTTAGCATCAAGGGTACAAGGCTTAACTGTTTTCTGTATGTAGCTCAGACAAAGAGAGCTTTCACCACGTCTGTATATTTCATCATAAAAGAAAAACCTGAGGACGGAGGATGTACTCATTAAATAAACACGTCATTTAATGCAGTTTACGGTGAAAAAAAGTCAACACAACGTCAATGAAGCTCATAGATCTTTGTTGACTTTCTCAGACAGGTGTCAACTTGACTCTTTGGACATTTTAAGCAACATTTTTGATGGTCATGCAAGCATGTAACTCCACCAAGGCCCAACAATCCCCTTTGCACTAAAACTTAATGAATTCTTTTCTGAGCCATACCTTATCCTTCCACTGAGTTTAATGGAAATGCATTCCATCTTGCTTACAAACAAGCAAACCAACCAATCCCTTGGCAGAGGAAATAAAAGGTAGTATTTTTGTATTTTATTGTTTGAATAGGCTGTGGTCATCGCACAGATCTGTTGTATTACCACTTGAGGCTGGAGCCTGCGGAAGGACGGTGCAGATTAAGAGTGGGAGTTTTTTCTTGTGTGAACCAGAAAGAGGTCAGTTGTGTCGAATCGTGCATTACAGTTACGTAGGATGATAAAAAAACCTTGGCGGCTTTACGACAGCAAGGCCGCCCACTTATGTCACTTGTTGTATTCAGCCCAGAAGAGTGGAAGAGGGAGAACATCGGCTTCATTTTGCCTGAGGTGACCCCCCCCCCTACCAACACAACAATCAACTGTCCAATTACTGTCAAAATGGTCTGACACCCCTCTGTCACTCCTTGTGAGGTGTGAAGAGGACAAATTCATTCTGCAAAACCCTCTGGAGAGTTGAAGAGACAAGCATGGTCTAAAGGAAAACATTTTCCTTGGAGCTGTGGATCACAATATGCAGGAGTATCTGAAATACATCTCAGAGGAAGGTGTGGACACAAACAATTAATTGAATTGTAAATATTAAATTGCAGCAATAAGAGAGGTGTCAATGTTTAAATTAGCAACATCAATCCATGCACACTTTTACTTAAAAAATATATTCGATTCAACATTTGCCCTTTAGAAGAAATGACAAAACATTAGGCTGATGATATTATAGGACTGGACAATAAGACTTTTAAAATCCTTTGATCGATGACCACAGTATTTCAAGAGTCTTCCTCAATTTTAGTGCTGAAGTCATCTTGTCATGACTAACACGGTCAACTGAGGTGAAGACCTCTTCACCTCAGTTGACCCTCTGTAGGTCGACGCCTTCCAGGAGAACAGGCGTGATATCGAGTATATCCATTCTCATAGTGCCCCCCCCCCCCCCCCCCCGGGTGACAAATGGTGAATAAATGACTAGTCACCTTCACAGTGTGCTCCTCTCCGTTTTTAAAGTCCTCCATATTGATTGACTGATTTATTTTTTCATGTTACATAAGGTTCTATCTAATGGCACAAGAGGATCAACTACTCACTTATATTAAATGCTCCTGCAGACCTGTGCGTATGGATTACTGTCACTAGATAGCGGCACAGCAACTCACAGGAATGAGAAATAATCAATAAAGCCAACCTGAGTCTCTCACTGAACTGTGTCAGAGCTTCAGTAAAACGCTAATCAAACATTTACTCTGTTACTTTTACTCTGAAGATCATTTGGCTCGTGAAAATACTCAAATTGCCTCAAATATTTTAACAGTGCAGGTTTAAAAACCACTTCAAGTGGTAAACCGGCTTGTTTTAACCGTTAACGTGACAAAATCTTCAGTCTGACTCAATATGTTGAAGACTTGTGGTCGTGGTAGCCGGGGGAAGTGTGTGGCGAGGTCGAGGTGATGATGGCACATCAGAGGTGGCTCCAGTAATGAGTCCAGATGACTAAACGCTGAGCTCCCTTCCCCTCACACGTTCACAGTACATACTGTATCTTATTCCTCCCTATTTTAAAAGTGTTCTGACACTTTGATGCATTTGCTCCACGTCCTCTTCCTCTTCCTGTTCTCTATCGCTGTGTTATTGTTTCATGCATACTTGTTTATGCCAAGAACTCCACATTCCTGCTGTACTGTAATCTATACTATACAATATCATGTACAAGTGGCAGATGGCCGCATCCCTCATAATATCTAGTGTATGTCACGTGTCCCATCATCAGCACCAGTGCTTCTTCTCCTCATCACAAATGAGATACTATGACTGATCAACTCTTTTGCATTCGCACTCCATGTTCATGTTGACGATACTGAGACTTTATTATATTATCATTTATTCATTTATTATCTATTACATCACAGTTTGTGTGTGTGGTATAGGTATTACTCATGTTGTGGGGAAATACATCTGTGACATTATGGGGTCTTCCTTATGGAGACAAAAAGCATGTCCCCATAATGTAAGTAATTATATTTACGGTGAAGACATGTTTTAGGGTGGATACGGTTTAGTTGAAGTCTCCAGGAAATCTAGACAATGTAATGACATTGACTGTGTGTGTGTGTGTGTGAGAGAGAGAGAGAGACTAGAGCAATTGAGCAGAAATATTAGTTGCAAGTATTTTCCTGTCATCTGTAACCACCAGAGGGCGACATGTTGAATTCTCATGCTCTACACAGGCTCATACAGCAGCAGAGGAACACTTACATTTCTGATATGTTCCGTTTAGTCCCAATTTCATAATAACAATTTAATAATTCACATGCATTTGGTTTTCAAACCATTTTGTACTTTCTTTTTTTTTTTAGCTTTGGTGTTGGACATGTTTTTTACCCACCACCTCAGAACAACTTCATTTTAGAATCTATCTGATTGATATTTATAGGGGATGGACAACAGACTAATTACAGGAATTAGGACTGAAGCTATATGAATAAACAAATAGCTTTTTGTTTAATGTTTATCAGTCCAGTGAATGTCTGTTGAAATGCTGTGTTAAATTTCAGCTTAACCTCTCTCACTTTTATTTGTTGTAATAAAATATAAATGAAAAACATTTTAAAATGTAGAATGTGAGTGTTGGCATGTGGCTGTAACTTCATGACTCTCCTCCGAACGTGGAAGTTGTGTTGTAAAGTGTAATTGTGTCTGATCACTGGATACAGATCAGGGCATACAGATATTCAGGATGTCATACAGATATTCAGGATGTCATACAGATATTCAGGATGTCATACAGATATTCAGGATGTCATACAGATATTTGTGGCGTTGCAATGAGAGATCATGCTCTCGTGTTGCATATAGAGTTTTGTTCTATTTTAAATATTTGAATAATAAATTTAGTTTGCCGGGGACAACCAGTGTGCATTCCAATATCGTTAGCTGCGCTCCAACTCTGACCTGAACTTCCCTGCAACCTTGAACAAGAGCCCAAAGGTTATGGACCCGTTTCAAATTAAGGGCATAGTTATGCACTCACATGCCCAATAATGCATTTGTATCACAATGCACCACACTTATGGTTTCATTTCAGAGGCAAAGGAATGTGTGTGTGTGTGTGTGTGTGTGTGTGTGTGTGTGTGTGTGTGTGTGTCCTCGACTCCCTTCATGCTTTTCTGATTGTATATTAGAGGTTCAGGGTTCAGACATATTACAGATGTACTATCACTTCACTGATGATAAGAGTCATTCACGTCCAGATATCATGATAAAGAGATATGGAGTGTACGTGGAGCTTTATCACCACCTAGTGGATTCTGAGGCACGGCACCTCCTGCAAAGGTACAGTACTGTACTGGAGGAGCAGTTGTAGGTGGTCTGAGGTGGGCCTCTCCAGTTGTAAATAGTGTTCTGACACGTGTGTGACCACTCTGGTGTCTGCGACCCCTCACCCCTGAAAGCTCAGCTTTACCACCTGGGGGTGGACTGTTCTTGATCTCGCAGCACC